TCGACAAGAGAGCACAAAACGTCGGGCACCTGAGAAATGATAGCATAAGAGTGATAAAAACCGAGTACTGCATCCGATATACCAGCCACAGCCCTACTTCTGATAAGTGGATTATATTAACTAAACCTAAATACACTGACCTTTTTGCCTCTTATAACCTAACCTAAGGAAGCTAGCAAAGCTGCTATCAAGGCGATGCCTAGCTCACTCCTTCCTAATGTACCTAAAACCACATTTTTACCCTACACGTCTTACCTTTTAAATATAACCTTTACTTCGTCTTATCTCTCTGTATAATTATTTAACTATACTAAAGTGAGAGAGAAATTTCTTACCTATCTCTTACTTTCCTACCCCCTATATCTTTATTATTCACTTACCCCTATCTATCTTTTTATTCTTTAGTTTCCTACCCCCTATCTTTTTATTCTTTATAACATATAAGCTTCTCTTATTTTAACGATAAGTCTCCTCCTACTTACAATCGTCTATAATGGGAAAAAGAAAGTCTGACGCATCGGGGCCTTCGCTAAAAAAGAGGATAATATCCCTAAAAGAAAAGGTTACCGACCTTCTACCAACCGATATCGTATATACTTGTAAGGATAGGGATTCCTATATAGAAATTATGATAATACAGTTTACCGATATAACAGAGAGAGTCTATAGAGAAGGTTAGATTTGTATAGAAGAAGGGTTTACCTCGTATGAATCATAGCTTCCTTCCGACCTAGAAAAGCTATATACCCTCGAACTAAAGTCTATAAGCCCCCTTACTAACGCTACTGTACCAATCGCTATTATAGTCTAATAGGAAAATAATAAGTAGATTGCCCTAACGAATGGTATGAAACTAAGCGATAAAAATGTCTACTACGTATCTAAATTCTTGAGCGGAAAAGACCATGTATCACTTTTCCTAATTAACTTCGATATAAACGGAAACTTATACGCTAACCGGATACCTAAGGATCCCGCTCTAATGGCCTAGGTATATAGACTCCTAATGGTATACGTTGCGAAAGGCGGCATTCTACTACTTAGCGCAGCCCACGCTATAAAGTTGGGTAATATTTCGCTAAAAACAGATAAAAACCTAAAGGACTCTAGCGCCTTTTTCTCTATTAGCGCAGTTATCGCAAGCGTATCGTTCGTTCGAATACCTCATAGCAAGATATACCAACAACTTGCTACCCAGCAACCTCTAACGTACCTAAACGAGGAACGCCTATAGATATATTGTGACAAGCTCGCCGAGGATCACAACGGACTGTCAATCTTGCTTAGCGATATCGACGAAAATACGGAAAGCTAGCTAATCCAACTGCCATATATACTTGGTTACAGATTGCAATATACCGACCAAGCAACCAACTCCAAGGTCCACACTATTCCAAGGAAGACTTAGAATAAGTTACGCATTATGACCATAACTTACGACAAAGTCAGGAGCTTACCGTACGAAAACCAAAAAACCCTAAAGCCCGACGATAGTAACTTTGATAAAGCCGTTCCCCACGATAAAGAAGATAGTAACAACTTCCTTCAATAGGCCAATAATCCGAAGAGCGTTCAGCCGAAAGCTCGTTAGCGTATCTTCCAATCTAACGCGCCGATAGTCAGCGAGAGACTAGGCGTAAAGCTACAAGCTATTACACACTTCGACAACCAAGTACCAGTAATCTAAGAAAAGATTACGAACTTCCATGACACTATCAATAACATTGATTCTTCTATATAGGTATCCAAAGACTAACAGCGGCATATCGCGAGATACAAGCTAGTAATCAAGGAATTCGAAGCATAGGAAAAATATAAAAGCGAGCTGCTAACCAAGCTGTAACATCTTAAGGACAATATTAATACAAGACCAAACGATTTCATAAGATGCGTTTTGATAGAACTGGCAGACGTCTACACTCCATACTCCCTAAGAAGCAAGCTAACCATCGACCTTACAGATAACGTTGACGAGGCCCATACCTAATAAAGCAGCGAGCATGAATTTTACCAAGCCGAAAACCTACCGGATTGTGTAACCAACTTCGACCGAGCTTGACGAAAACCTACCGGATCGTGTAACCAACTTCGACGAAAGCCAAGCTGAAAAACACGGACCCACGGCAGACCAAGCTACTCCATGCGTATTTCACACAAAAATAGAGGGACGAAAGAAACCTCACGATGCCTGCTTGATTACTCCGCAACTTTTACAGTCAACTTTTACAGTTCTGTATAACTTTGTTTTCAATCTCGGGACGAGATTTTTTTCGAGGCCGGCATGTTGTTGCCACCGACACGTGACTTCACGTGATTACTGTACTTAGATCATCCAGTAGCATAGCTTAGAATGATCATCATCTTGAGTATCAACCAACTTGTACCACCGAAGTACTAGAAAGACGTTATATCATATCCCTTCTAAGAAGGCTTCCTCGTAGTAATAAGAAAGGAGGTTAATTCCCTTACTAAGAAAGGAATGTTTAAAGTTATCGATAAACTAAAGGATAGGGGAAAGTAAGTACTACCTCTATTATAGGTCTTTATATATAAATTCGACTAAGATAGCTATCTTATGAAGTTTAAAGCCCACATTTATATGTAAGGTAATCTCAAAACAATCTCTTAAGAAGAAAAGAGAGCTATAATACTAGTAGTAAGAACAGTAAGGATAATCTTCGTACTAGTTACTGCCTTCGATCTAGATCTATGCTAGCGAGATGCCGTAACAGCTTTCCTAAATAGTAAACTAGATAGAAGGAAAGAAACATATATATATATACTAGAGGGATTTTAGATCCTTGGTAAATGTTGGAAGCTATTGCGAGCGTTATACAGTTTACGGATCTCGCCACAACTTTGGTAATAAGAAGCGGCAAGCGTCTTACATAAGTTAGGGCTTGAGCAAGTCCCTGAAGATCTATATGTTTTTATCGGAAAAGGACTAATCGTCTTCTTCTACGTGGATGATATCCTAATCGCCTATCATATATCGGCGAGGGACAGGGTATACTAATTAGAAAAGGATCTCGAAACCTATTAGGAGCTTATAGATCATAGAGAAGCCGGTTAGTTTCTCAATATCCGAATCATACGAGATAGACGGTAGAAGAAGCTATAGCTATACTAAGATAGCTATATGGTAAGTATTACTACTCGCTACAATTTAATCAACCGCCTAGCTGTCTATACTCTACTACCAGTCGAAGAACTAAAGCTATACCAAGGTATTACTATACCTAGAGAAATTCATCTCTACCAGCAAAAGGTAGGATCAGCTAGCTATATAACCACTATTACTAGACTAGATGCGGCAAAGGCCACTGCCTAGCTAGCCCAATTCCTTATAAACCCCGGCCCGCAGCACTATAAAGCAGTCGACCGAGTTATTTTATATCTCTATACTATATATAACCTAGCTATTGAATACAGCGCTGATACAGTAACCACCGAGACGGATTCTATATAATTCGCAAGTGATACCTCTTATAGGGATTACCTGGATCGGAAAAGCTCAGTAGGCTACATTTACTAAGCGTACAGAGGGCCAGTCGACTAGAAAGCTACTAAGCAGCCAATAGTAATAACATCGACTACTGAGGCTAAGCTTCTAGGCCTATCCGAGGTCGGGAAGTAGCTCTAATGATAGAGACGACTACTAGATACCATCGGCTTTATACCGTCTCATACCCTTACAATCAGCTGCGATAACGAGTGTATAGTCAACCTAATACCAAGCGAGGACATGGTATATGAGACAAAGCTCCGATATATGGATATCCATCGCCATTGGCTTCGATAAGAGGTTAGGGAGGGACGAATTTATGTGAAGTGGGTTACCACGGCGAACATGGTCGCTGATGGACTAACCAAGATGCTCCCTCGCCAGAAGCATGACAACTTCATCAGGCTACTAAGGATGGTAGACATAGGCCATCTGGTATAGGCCAGCAGTCCATACTAGGCGTGCTGAGGGGGTGTATCGGAGTATGCAAGTCAGCATACCAGAGGATACCGGAGGATCTATTAATCCTAACAATGTGTATTGTTTATTTTAGTTTATGTAATCAGGCTCCATAAATTGCCAGCGGAGCCAGTACAGAAATACAGACGGATTGACACCCATTTGATTGGACCTATATTTTACGGATACGGTTAATCCGACATAGTTTAGTGGCCTTGTCCCTCAGGCAGAGAAAACGAAGGCCGGGTTGTCAAGTAGAGTCTCGGGGAGCAGATAGTCTAGGAGGATCATCACCCCAGAAATGAAAAACGAGTTGCGAGATGTTTGTGCGTTAGGAGATTGTATACTATGGTGTGGTCTACGTGATCCCTATGCTTGCTAGCTGACCGTCCTGGATGGTTGGTGTTGTTGTGTCGTCCTCGTCTTGCCTGCATGGCCAGGCTGCCCATCGTGCATTTCCCTCTTCAGTAGATAATATTACCGAATGTAGGAGTCTGGGCGAAAGAATTTGCAGCTCTAGAGATATTTCCCAATTGGAACATGCGCATAGGAAGTTTATCTGCGTAAGTGGTGTGTTGTCATTAGTGTAATACTTCTAGGATTAAGATTTACAAATACGAAGTTGGGCTTACAGGGTATATACTGTTGATTAACAGTAACCCTAATTTGGTTTATTACACCCGCACGGATATAAGATCGATGTAGGTTGACTGCGCTTATGCAGCTTCGTATATGCAATGTGATATATCTTTAGCCATCCAGACCTAATGATATACTGATTCGACGCATATCAACGGAATTGAGGGGTTATTAGTAGGAATGAAGAGATTAGAAAGATACTTTTATAACTAGAATATGAGGACCTGTGGGATTGACGCCGAAAATGACCGCTTGTGAGGCTAGAAACGGCTGCCTTTCTACCCGTAACTTTAGACGTCCAGCCGCCCCTTGACTGCCTACTGCCCTGTAATACTACTATTCTATACCTGGTTCCCTTGAGAGAAGAGTTGAAGAAAGAGATACATCGGTTGATGAAATGAAGGCTACTACCGCAAACCTTACGAGCCTCCCTGCTAAAGAACAAGCGAAAAGGGTTTGCCTTGAAATAGGGAAGAAGTCGCTTGATGAAACGATGCAAAAGGCTCGCAGTCGACTTGAAAAGTTCGACATTTTTATCCTTAAATCTCACCAAATTGATTTTTCGTCAATGTTAGTACTTTCCCTAGGTATTGTATTGCAGCTTGCTAACTCTAAGTTCCAGAATTGACGGGTTTGAGGGCATCTCGCAATAAATGAAATTTGGACCGTCTTGCGCCAGAATTTGAGCGACGAGAATCTCAAAGTACGTTATCCCATATATATTATATGCCCTCATATGTTAAACTGAGACTTAGACGAACTTCCTTGGAGAATGATAGACCCTAGAAGAAGTTCAGACTGGATACTGATGCTGCTATCCGGGATGGAGCAATCCAAGGGCAGCCTGCCCCCTTGTGTGCTTCGAATTCCGATGCCGCTAAGGGAATGCGTTTGGCTGTGGTGTTGGGCATTCTATCCAGGGAAATTGATAAGATTTACCTACCCAAATGATTCTGTGGCTCTCTAAGCTGCAGTTACATTTTTTAGCTCCAAAATTTTGAGACACATCGACTGGCCTTTGGATAGCCTCAGACTAGCGCTAACTGATCCAGGAATTTGGCAGGTATAAATGTAGCGATGATAAGAAAAATAAATAAAAGTGATGACAAGAAATTGACAGAAATGCCCGGTCGGAGGGCTGTGTGATCTGAAAGTGTAGAGACTTTCCTTCTCCGATGTCGTGAACAAAACCCCCTTTCTCAATTCCAGAGCCAACTGCACTCACCAACTGCATGAGAAGCACAAGTAGCTGGACAGAGCTTGAAAGGCAAAACCCACCTCTCGTCATCACCGATGACAACTTTTACCTTCTCAGTCGTGAAGTGAGACATGACACCACAGAATATATAATTCCAGTCGGCAGCGAAGGGATCCCTCTCCGCCTTGGCCTTGAACACAACGCGCTGAACACCAACATTAGGAACACCGCCTCTCCCAGCGTTCTTTCCAGCCTCCAAAACGCTCCCATCCGGCATGATAGGGAACTCAATGAGATCAGTATAGCCTGCTACAGCGTTTTCGCAATCGCTTGTGAAAGAAATATCGTCACTGTTGCCGTAGGCATGAGGATACATCGCCCTGGTGGCAATCTGCCACGGCCCTTGACCGGGACGCTGGGGCCCTTGGACAGGTGAGAGCAAGTACTTGATTCCTTGCGTCATGGCGGCCTTGATGGAATCGGTGCTTGCGTACTCGAACCCAAGATGGGTGTCACAACCTGTCCATTGAGGAATATCAGCAGCATTGGACGCCTGGCCTGGATCTCCTTGGTAAAAAGGAGCGCAGGATGGTGGAGCGGCACGCTTTCTGCTAGGGTGACTGCTGCTGCCGCCCCCTTCCGCGGTGGAATCACAGATGTCTTCGCCGGCTTCGATTCGAATTTCTCGGTTGATCAATTCCACGTCGGCTGTGTTTTGGATGTACTGGTTAGCACGCGCTTTGATCAACGAAGTCGAATAGAACTTGAGGGTTTGACATACTTTGTGCACCATAAATACCTAAACTCAATTTAATTTCTGCCCTTCCATCATTGATAGCATCGATGGCCGAGTCGATGTTACTATTGAAGTTGTCCAATATACTGCCAAACCACCCCAGGCCGCTGTTGTTGGGATCAGCAGCCTTGATTTTCGCTTCCAAATCGCTGACATGGGTTGCCATTGTATCCTTGATGGACGAAGCTGTGGCGCTTGCAGAATTCTTCAGATCACTAGGGATCGTTTTGGAGGCTATCATGCTGGACACTGCGGAATCAAGAATGGGTGTCGCTTTGGCAAATTCAGCGGAGATAGAGCTTGTCATGGATGTTGCGACCTCGACACGGATGGGCGTGGGGTTCCAGTCACCGTTGGAAGAACCATCGGGCCCGTCGTAATCAAGTGGGAGGTTTGCCTGCTGGCCATTGGCGCTTCCACCATCTGTGCCGCTGCCACTGTCGGTGCTGTCAGAGTCAATATGATGTTGGTCGGTAGAGCAAGACAAGCCGCAGGACTGGTCACAGCTTTGAATGCTGCACCCTCCTCCACAGCCATAGAGACCACAATCATCTACCGGGTCGCTCGAGTCGCATCCACCAAAAAGTTTGCAGCTATCGGTACCACAGCCGCTAGTACAGGTCTCAGTTGGAGTGCCACTCGACCAGGTAACAGAAGGGACATTTGCGCCCGTTGACACAGAACTCGTGGCCTGGGGCTGCACTGTGATAGTGTGAGAAGTCCCTGGGAAGACGGGTAGTGGGGTAGCGCTGCCCGATGGAACCGGGGAGAAGGGAGCTTCATCGCCCGAAAGAACGAGCTCTGACGATTCTGGCATGAAACTTTGAAGGGGATAAAACCCAGTGGGGTTGTATCCGTACCGATAACAACGGGCCAGAAGGGAATCCCATCGGTGACCAGTGATAGTACGCTGAGAATAGTGGTTTTTATGCCGGTCGAAGTGCCTAACCTTATCCAGATCGAACTAACCATAGATGAAAACCGAATAGTTGTCTTTGAGCCAAGAGGATACGGAGGTAAAATAACCGTGTATGGTGGAACGCATTGAATCTCGGGATCATTGCTATCCCAGATATCCGGAGAAAAGAACACCTCGCCGGAGCTCACATTGCTAGACTCGACATAGGTACCTTCAGGACAGTACCCGTGGCTATATACGAAATTGCAAAGTCTATGGTCTTCGAGCCCTTTAACAGGAGTACCCTCAGTGTTTGTAGTGGCTAGGGCCGGTACTAAGCCACCCTGGGCAGTATACTTGCATATATGCATTAGGCAAAAGCCATAGTTACACGCGAAGCTACAGAGGCCTGTAAGAGCCCCAGATCCAGTGCCTACGATACATACAGGGGGTGCAAAGTCGGAAGTAGTAGGGACAATAAGAGGGACTTCCTCTGTTCCACAAGCTGAGCTCGGGCAATACCCCAAGTTGTAATTAAATGCGCAGAGGCCTGAATAACTTGCGTCCTCACCGGCGATTGGGTATCCAACCATACCTATAGAGTTTAGAGCTTTCACTGGCTTACCCATTTGCCGGCACATACATGCTGTCACTAGGCAGTAGCCATAGGAGCAAGAGAAGTCACAGAGACCATCGAAATTGTTTATACCAGTTCTATTAACACAGGTCTACTCCGAGATTAATAACGATAGCTGTGCCGAAACAGCGGTAGGGAATATTGCACTTCCAACCCAAGCGTTAAACAGCCCATCCGTACAAGCGGACGAGATAGCTCTACCGTTCACTTAGGCAAGCTGACTTCCATCACAGGAGATGGTCACAACAACCTCTCCGGTGCCCGTGAAAGGAACACTGCCATGGTAAATACCGACTTTACCATCTAGAACCCAGGTCCTGGTACAGAAAGTCAGTACCTCTTGGATACATAAGTTCGAATAGGGATATTCCCTACCATAAGCCTTCCTGCACGATACCGCCGATACTGACTGTCACAGTTACAGGTTTTACCATAAGAGCAGAGTAGAAAACCCGGTCTTACACGATCTGACTTAGTTCAAATTCCATCTACAGTTAGCTGGCAGTGTTCCCTGTGGTTCCGCTATCACAAGATATACCAGGGGAGAGACGATACCAGGTAACGAGATTTTCTTCAGTCACTTTGGCCGTCCCCTTCGTATACATATCGATTAAAAATGGCAATAACACTCTCTAACCATCATAGGGCATGTCGGTGGCAAAATTACTAGGGGCCTCACCAATCTTGAAGGCTTCCATTACGTAGTCGTATAGCAGCCCAATATAGTGAGACTCGCCATAGTCATTCCCTGGAAATATTAGATAAATGTGGATCCCACATAAGTTTAGATAAACTCACAAGAAATAATCTGCACAAATTCTAGCTGATTGTATAGAACCTCCACCCAGCGGTCGTACCACAGATCATCGCCTCTCCAAAGCCAATTCTTATCATAACCAGGCAGATTGGTAAAGAACCACGGCGAAACAGCCATCATATAAGGCTTTGTCCCAGACCCATTCAGATATTGGTAATAAGAGGCGTCGGTATAGGTGTCCATATCCTGTGGGCCCCACGGCCAAGCTGCCCAACTGAAGAGACCATCTGCCACGCCGCCACCTAACTGCAAGGCTGGTTTGGCACCAATAGACGACCAATCAGGTATAAAGAAGGCGTTGTATTTCTGCTTCAGATCAATCCAATCCTCTGCTTGGTTGGGTCCCTCAAATGTTGACACAAGATACTGGCCATTATGCAGGTAATACGAAGTCGAGGCCGTATATTCCTCCAAGAGCGCGGCCACATCATCTGCTTTCCAAGCTCCATTTCCGGCATAGTCGAAGGAGAAGAACAGTGAGAATTTCAAATCGGAAGCAACTTCAAAAGCAGTTGGCAGAATTTGACCAATTCTAGAGTCGACAGCCATATTCAGTGCAAACGCATCAAGGTGAGCATCTTTGGCTGCTTGGATGTCTGTTTGCCAGTCGGCTGTGGTGTAGTTTTCGGCGTTCATCAGCTTGATTCATGTCAACCCTTAGCCTTTGTATATCATTGAAATATAGGAGCTCAATATACTGTTGTGGTGGCCACGTGCCGATCACATGCCGTTGCCTGGTTTGCCAGGCCTCACCTAGCTATTTAGCTAGATCTCGATCGTTTGTAGGAATCTAACCTTCTACATATCTCTCTCACCGCTACAAGAGGTTATGGGCCCTCTCTCTATCCCACTAGCATTGTCCTCCCTTTGCTAAAATCATCGTTTTTCATCATTTTCAGCCACCAAAAGGGCGCTGCAATTCGCCTCATAAGCGGTTGTAGGTTCTGGCACACGGCTCGCCTCATAAGCGGTCATAGCACTAGTAATTCGCCTCATAAGCGGTTACAGTAGCTCCATACGGCTCGCCTCATAAGCGGTCGTCCATCCATAGCTTAGACAGCTCGCCTCATAAGCGGCTGCCCAGCTCCATACAGTTCGCCTCATAAGCGGCTGTCACTTTTAGTCAATATGGCTACCTCCTCTGTGGACGAATGGAGTACCCTTCTTGGGGAAGAAGAATCTATCACCCAAGCAAGTGGACTTCCAGATCCCGGTACATTCAAACTTTACAAATTCGAAGAGACACTCAAAAACAAAGACGACTTCGAAACATGGTTCAACCAAATCAATCAACATCTCAAAAGCCAAGGTCTCCAACGTCTGATCGACCGGAAGATACCCTACCCTTCGAAAGCAGCCAATAACACGAGAAAATGGCAGCAACTATCAATTCAAACCACTAGATACCTCGTCGCCAATATATCAAACAATCTCGTATAACAGGTCAGATCTCAAGGGGTGCGTATTAAACTCGCCGACGAATTCATAGAACAGGCTATCAAGCTATTCCGGGGCCAGGGTTTTTACACAATCAATAAAGCATTCTAGAATCTCGTCGAAACCAAGAAATCTAGCTTTGGTACAACCACAGAATTCATCCAAGCAATTCAACAGCGCTTTTTCGCAGCAAACGAACTTGGTATTATTGGAGCACCATACGTCGCAATATTCGCAATAACAACTCTTTTTAAACAACTCAACAGGGAAGAGCACTTCCGTCATTTTCTTACCTCTTACTACAAAAAGCTTGAAGCAAAGGACAACCCATCGACTTCAATCACAGCTAAGGACTTCTACAAATGTTGCTCCGAAATCCTACAGTACACAGAGCGAAACGTTGAAGATGGAATTGCATACGGAGCAGTCCACAACCACAACTTCAACAAATCCAAATTGAATAACGCACCACCGAGAGGAAAAACCGCAGAATCCCACGTGGCTGAATGGAAGACCCGCACTACAAGTGCTAACGGTAACTGTGTTTACTGCGGTAATACAGGCCATTCAGCAGCAAAGTGCTACCATCTAAACCCTGATACTCACCCCCCCGATTGGAAACCACGTCCAGGCCTATGGTGCTACCAATGGAGAGGATCTCGTTTCCAGGAATCAAAGACAGAAATTGGTGGAAGTGATAATCAAGGGGTGGGTGCAATCGCAGTAACACTAGCAGGATACGATTTCGGAGGCTAGGTTTTCAGCCTGAAGGGGTGTGTTGTGGTGGCCACGTGCCGATCACATGCCGTTGCCTGGTTTGCCAGGCCTCACCTAGCTATTTAGCTAGATCTCGATCGTTTGTAGGAATCTAACCTTCTACATATCTCTCTCACCGCTACAAGATATACCATAAAGTGCGCAAACACGGCTGTAGCCTTGACCTGGCAGGGCCACAGAAGGGCCGCGGCCACAAAAAAAGGCAATCTCATGCTCAACTGCCCTGTCAGAGTAGATCAATGGCTTGCACTACCTCAAAAACATAACCCAGAATCTGCATGGAAGGAAGATTGATGGGCTTTTATATTTTACACACAGCTTGAGTGGGTACATTTTCGATTCAGCAACAAGTTCTGCGCTATCCATTTTCCTATCGGCTGACACCTCGTTACGAGAAGAAAACTAGAATTTGTTCCTAGTGGCACCAATTTCCACCATCTATCCTCGGTCATTTGAATAGCGAGGTGGGATACAGGGTCAGGTGGTGAGCTAACACGTTAGCAACCAGTAGTGCCATAGTATTATCCACTAAATGAAATTAGAAGACTAGATGCAGTTAATTCTTTCAGATACGTATCCACTGCACTATTGACTAAACCTGAGTTTTGTACATTTTCTCGGATAAACGCCATGATATCTATGTAGCAGAATGTCAACCCTTTCGATTACCGGTAAACAAGTTGTTTGGTAGGTTGCTAGTAACTTGTTACGTTTTTGACCTTGGTTAGCAGCATCAGCATCAAAAAAAGGGAAACGGACACCCACATGGAGGGAAGCCCTTGTTAAGTGTTTTTCCGTGACTCGGAAAAGTCCACCTACCATAGTAAGGTCCAATTCTCTTTCGAGAATCCCGCTGTTGCAGGCTATGCTGCACTCCGCAAACTTGGTACTATGTAGACTGCGACATTGCCCGTCCATGGGCCTTTGGAATTTAGAGGCTCATCGCCCATCACTATGCAAAATTAATGTAGAAATTACCTTATTAGGCCTATTTATGTACGTAACCAAATATTGGCAGTATCCATTTCGCCCAGAGTGCCCATGGATGTCTTAATGACGCTAAAAATGTCTTCTCTCTAATGGGCATTGTCGCAGTCTATTCACATGTAGCGCCAGGCCGAGAGACTCTAAGCAGAGATCCGAGCCTAGATGAGACCGACCACCTATCTATATACCCATTTCCGTCAACTATCACTTACTGTTAATCTAGCTCTAAACTCATCTTTAGCGATATTCCTTACTAATTAGTGCGTTGCTCGACTTCTAATCTCTTAATATATTTTGCCTATAGCCTCTATAGTTTCTTATTGTCACGGGCTGAAGCCCGATCTAGATCACGTGGAAACACGTGCCCTGACGCCCAAACATCCAGCAAATGGCCGTAGATAGTGGCTTTCTTCCAAATCGACGTAAACAGCATGTTAGCCTAGCTCAATTAAATCGATTTGGCTGCAGCCCCCCACGATAATTGAATTTGATTTCTAAATTCTAGGGTTTTTGCCGCATTATTTTAATAGGTAGTTATAAAGTGATATAAATGTGAAAAGTTTCTGTTTTCTGGGTAATTTATGTATTATGTGACGGAGTTATACCTAAAAAAGGCATGGGAAAATGATAGGATGGCTATCTCCCAAATTTTAGTCCTACTAGGGCAACTAGTTAGCACAGGGTAGCGTTCTTGAACGGGGGATGTCCATATATAGTTTAGTCTGGGGAAAGCTGATTTAGACAGTCGGTCTATAGCGTCCTAAGCGAAGGTCCACAAACAACTATGAAATAGGCAAAGGCTACTCCAGCCCCAAAATCTCACGAAAACCCCATTTGAAGTACCATTCTGTCGCTGCAATGCGGAAAGTAACGCGTGGTTTTCAAGCCTGCAACCACCTTCTTCAGGTCCACAGCTTTAAGGTGGTCCTAAAGCTCCCAGGAACTGTGGGGCTTGCCTCGGCCCTCCAGCGCCGAAACAAGCATGTTCCGAGATTACTTAATGGGGTACTTCGCCTCGAGAGGGCCTCAGCGCAATAAAACGGCTTTTGGTGCGGGTCCCAATTTCGTATATTCACCAAGTGCCGATTTTATGCAGAACTAAGCTTCCGAATGTTGGGTTGTTGTTGAAATGGCGATTTTCCACCTTGCTAGCGCCGACGAAGCCCACCGCCAGGAACCGCGAATTCTCGCGCATTTTTCGCGATATTGGTTTCGATTGTTTAGAAGGGATTCGAGTGCTTTGAGGATCCGATCCTTGATTTCTCTATTGACTTTAGGCATTTTTGGCGGAGTTGTTGGCACTAAATGAAGCTTTCTTTCACATGGGGTGTCCCATTTGGGTGTCGGGCCCTCGCATAGCGAGGGCCCATAATTTTTGTAATTTTTGTGAGGCCCGGTTATTACGCAAGTACTATGATCCGCAGAACCTGAGCGTTTGGGTGAGCAGCCAACGTAGAGATGTTCATGGTCAGGTGAATTTCACTGATGCCGGGACCCACTAGAATTCCGTCGCAGCATATTGATGATGCTAGCGCTTTCTTCATCGTGGGTCATAGCTGCCGGTCCACTAAGCTGTCGCCGAGTTATCGCTAACAAGCGACGTAGCATCGCCTTTATAGTGGGGACTAATTTAAAAAGGACAATGCTGGGTCAACGTGGAAAAATATTTTGATTACGGATATCTCCGTGGCATTTTAGCAATGTATATTCAAGCCGTTCCTAGCGAGCAGAGTTTTTCTCTCGGCTTTGTTGCTCAATGCTATGCATAATTTCTACCAGTTTCTGTGCGTCGTCTCGAGTCCGTTCCATCAGCTCATTCTGTTCGCTGATCCATTGCAGTCGTTCCTTCCAGAAATCCCACCGCTCCTTCGAGAACGATGAGTCTCCTTTCCATAGATTCCAATCGGGCTTTTTGTTTGCTTCAGCAAGGGTGAGGTCCTTCTTTCCTACAAACTTGAAAATAATGGACCCTGCAATCTCAAAAAAAGGAACCATAGCATGAACATCAGTCTATAGGCCGAAGTCAGTATCTCAAGCACAGTGATCATATTCTTTTGCGACCCACATTCAGCATAAGGATGTAATTCGTAGCCACGCGGCCATCTACAAGGTGATAGCGCTGTAAGAGCGACGGCGAGGGCGGCGGAAGTGGCACCGGCCCGTATTTCCACGGCTCCTGTTCTAATGCAAAGACGGGGATTCGCAATGCTATGCTTAGTTCGCGTGAACCAGGGCCATGCGGTGGATATGCGGAAAGATAATGCGCACAAAAAGCGCTGCTACTGTGAAAAGTGTACCACCCTTCAAAAGGGTAGATACCGTATCGCATTTCCCAGTAACCTGTAATCAGAATATTAGCCCCTACATTAAATCAACATAAACGACCCTCTGGAAGGAATCTTGGGCGAAAGCCTTGTGTCCAAAATATTGGAGAGAATCAAAGAATGGGATGGCCATTTTGCATGATATTTTAGGGGAGGAAGAAGTCACGCACGGTCATGAGTCTCTTCCCAAATGTCCTTGAATGCGGCCAAGTTCCTCCAGTCTTCCAGCCGATCCTGGAAGCGTGACGTGCGAACCTGTTCTTCGGTTCTATCAAGGTCTGGAAGAGCTCTTATTGCCTCTACCAGCTTCAAAATAGCGGGTTGATAGTTCGGCATCTCAATAGCAGCATCCCAAAGTAGCCATGAAACGCGCTCCCCTTTATCCACAGCTTGACTCTGGCGCTCTTGAATCAGGTCATCTTCGTTACGAAGTGACATGAAGCGATGAGCAGCGTCATCTACTGGAACTGCATTGGCAGTGCCGTAACGCTCAACAAATTCCTGCAATATTTGAATCTCATCCCAGGTTGGGGGATCTGGGTCGCCATCCTCTGGGTCTGGATAGAAGAAGGGTTTCCATTCGGCTTTGTACTCTTCCATTGTTGTGATGGAAGTTGTGGTGATTTGATCTGGGGTCGCCCCAGTCGGTTCTGACAACGAAGGCGTACTTTCAAGTGAAAGTGCTTAGGAACAGATCGCTTTTTCGGGGCAGTATGGTCATACAAGAGACAAGCAAAGGAGGCTTCGCTGGTGGTCAGACCTCTGGAATCCTAAGTTGCTCCACAATGGATGCTCTTAGCACCCATATAGTGTCTTATGTATGTATCAGCGAAAAATGCTGGCCAAGAAGCGCTATAGGCAAAGTAGTTAGGGGTGGATTCGAAATCATTTTGCGATGTCATTATTCGCATCCGAAATTTCTATTCGAAAAGTTATGCGGAAGTCTGCCAAGAAATTGGTTACGTAAATGATTGGTTAACGCCAGCAAATCCACCCGTGATTTAGCGTCGTCTTGTCGCGCACGTTGTGTATACCAAATCCTCCTTACATATGGATCTCGTAATTTGAGACTCTAGCCTGTGGATCTTCTCACTATGGTTGATAGCAGTATTTATTTTCCGCCTACAATAGATAACAGCTCATGTACTCTCAGTGTCATTCCAGCTGTAGGTTGGCGCAATACAGTAAACACTTCCAGCCTTCAAGCTATCTGAGCATTTTCCCGGGTCCAAAGAAGGGTTTACCATCGTGAAGACCGCATGTGTGATACTATACTGACCACATATACCCACACAACTATCTCCACTCTTGGCCTCGTACCATTTGCCACAATTCCTTGTTGTTCCTGTCGCCAGTGTCGCATTTGCAGGTGGCTCGACCTTGCTATACACATATCCATTCGATTGAGAGGGAGCAACGCCACCACCAGTGCTGCTTCCATTGTGCATGCCGCCCTGTGGAGAGAGACAAATGGCTGTACCGTAGATCTTGCTTGCTGGCTGTAGATTGTCGCAGTCGTATGAGACCCATGGGTTGTATTTGCGTACATCACGATCTTTCAGGGAGTACGCGTACTCGATATCTGAACAATTGTCGCTGGGTTGGATGGAATATGTCTTCTCACAGGTTAGGGGAAGGCAGAATTTGAGTCCCGAAGAGAGGGAACTGCAGTCAAGGATCTGATTTTGATTTCCCATGTACAATGCCGCTGAAGAAATGCTCGTGTCTTCGGCGATCGATGTGCAAGTGTCGCCGTCCACGGTGGTGTAGAAATTATCCGATCCGCAGAATTTAGTTTCCTTTTCTGGGGTATTGCGAGGGATTTCCAGGACTGTGGTCGGGGCATTTAATCTGTAACGCTTATTGATTGCTTGTAGGACCGTCTGATAGTAGTCGTCGTACGCAGAGTAAGGGGTACATTGCATCATTTGAAGGTGTTCGGTATAGCAGTAAGAGTATAGCTCGTTATCAGGCATTGCTATAGTATTAGGGACTAAGGTGAAATCATCAATGATATCTGTCAATACCGGTTAGATGAGTTGAGTAATAATTAGAGGTGTTTAACGTATCATTGCAATACTTCCCTGAGCTCTTATCCTTGCTGCATATTTCGTTATAAGCAGCCCAAATGCGACTACCGAATATCTCTGCAGGCGTTCTACTGATGTTATATCCGGTACAGTTAAGTTGCACCGATTGATACTATGCCTGGAGGTTCTGACTATAAGTCGTATCACAAATCGACTCAGTCAGGGTATCGTTATTCAGAGAACCGTGATATTTGGCGGATATTATTGAGTTCAAGACTGGGTCGCATTTGATTTGTTCCGTTATCGCCGACTGGTAACCGATTGGAAGATCAAGAGGTTCCAGTGTAGAGGTGCTGTAGATACTAAACCTGTCGAATTCTCTTAGGCCCGCGGTTTGATTTGCACTACCAAGCCAAGCAAGAATAGACGAGAGAAGACCATTCATGTTATCCTTGGCATAAGTGGGTGTTCCCTTGTAAGGTGTGATCATCTCCACAATAGCCCTAGTGTAAAGATTATACACCTAAATATCGGTACTTTGTTTAACCCTGAAAGCCTATTGCTGATAGTCATTCGTTTCGAGGCAGTCTTGGGAGTAATCCGAAAACCAGCTGTAGATACCAGTGCCAAGTACCCAAATAGAGGAGGACTCGACGATACGAATACCCTAAGATACCGCACACTTGGTTGAATCACTCTTGCAATCATCAAAATTTGGGTCATTGACAAACATGCCTGGTGTGAAGGGGACTGGGGCTTCCGGCGAGGGTTGGTAATAAGGCGATTCTGTCTGAATCATTCCTATGAGAATATTCTGCGCCCCCGAAAGCTGGTACTGGTAGAGAGTACTGTGTTCCGATGTAGTACTATAAAGCTATGCCAGTTGACTCTCGATTAGAATACCACGGGCTGCGTAAATATCAATCTGATCTTAGGAAGAGACGTCAAGGTTATGGTCAGCTACCCAGACCCAGATGTTCTCCAGGTAGGCTGTGGAAGATAAAGTCAGATGAAGTAAAAGAGATGCAGCAATACAATCTTCATTGATACTTCCTGTGTTCTTTGGACACTGTTTGTTCTGGAGGTTCGACCCTATAGCACCGCTAATGCGGATGTGAGAATCCCACATAGCAGCCGATCCCTTCACTGATTGCTCAACATTCCACTCTACAAGAATCGCACCTGCCGTAGGGCTAGAGACTGTGAAAAGTAGATCTTGAATTTCCACTATACCAACGTTACCGGAAGCACTGACCCTAACGGTAACTCGGGGATCCTCTGCATCTGCAAAATTAGTACCAGTTGCCATGATCTGAGACCATGCCTAACCTATAATGCGTGATCCAACAGGTACATGCAATATATCATGAATCATGTAAATACCGTGTGGAATGTATATAATAGACGAAAGATTCGCAGCATAAGATAAAGTGTAATTAAGAATCGCAGTATCATCCGTAGTCCCGTCGCCCTTGGCTCCAAGGTTCTTAACATTGACGATTTGGTCGGCTGCGAGAGTCTTGTATTGAGGTCGACGACGAGTGAAGAGGTTAGAGTCAATATAGGCTTGTGTCCCTAGTAGCTGAGTCGGTCGCAAAATAGCAGGGATATCCTCACCATTAGCAAAGGATCTAACTCCAGATACATCGCTGACCATTCCGAAACCCCATGAAGCTTTGCGGACCTCATTACTACCAGCAAGAAGAATTTTATTCTGAACGGAATCAATGATTGCGGTCTTGACGTTGAAGAATCCGACATTTTGCAACAACAGAGAAGTCGAATTTTCCGCATGAAGTGAGGTTATGATTCCATTCGGGGTATTGGCGATGATGGCATCAGTCAAGATGAGAGATCCAACACCTTGGCCTATACTCGAAGGTCCTCCGGCCTATCTAGATTAGCATGACTTGCCAAATGCCATTCAGCTATTTTGTCTATGACTCACTCCACCCACAATTGTGAGTCCATTTGTGCAAGATTCAATAACGTAGTCCTGCATGGTCTACGCCCAATCCCAATGAACCTGAAGAGCGGTGTTGCAGTTCACGAAGGTGAGCTGACTTGAAGTGAACTGTTGGTTACCAAAGTAAGCACTATGCATAATTAATTAGACCCCATTGATATTCAAACTGCACAAGAATGTCATTACCCAAAGTTGCCTCCCACAAACGTAAGGTCAGCTAGAAAGCCTCCAGATCCATTCTCCATGTAGATTCCTTATTGCGTGTTCGACGGAACATCTGAATTGTATACCATGTAAAATTCTATGTTTTCCAGCGACGTCCCTTGCGCAACTTGCCAGTGGATAGCACAGATGTATGCCGAGGGGTCAGTTGGTCTGATGTCGATTTTGAAGTTTCTAACGCTGCGCAAGAAGTTGTTTTGATTAATATACCACTCTTCATTGTCACTGACATAGACATCGGAGGTAATGACGCCCAGGCCAACGAAACTGGATGCAGCCAGGATGGTAGGAACTTCGAGGGGCTGGTGGCTGTCAGTGATTAAACAGCACAAGCATGCAGAACAATCGCTCAGCAGCATTGCTCGAAGAAACTTACATCACCCAAAAACTCAGTATTATAGTACTGAATGATTGGCGAGCTAACCAGGTATGTTCCGGCAGGAAACCAGACTGTCGCAGGGTAGATAGTACTTGATCCACAGCCGAGGCCGCAGCGTCCACCGTCCGAGATAGCCTTGTTGATGGCCTCTGTATCGTCTGTGACACCATCTCCGACGGCTCCATACTCGCGAACATCTCTCCATACCTATTTTGCGTCAAACTTAAGGAAATTAATGAGAGGGGAAGAGGGCGGGTACTTTATAACCAGCTGGAGCAAATGCACTTTTTCCATTTTGTTCCATCGTAGCCATCCAGTACTTCGAAGTACTAGCTCGCTTTTGGATTGCTCCATGGGTTGTATCATTGCCAAACACGATGTCATCGGTAGTACCGGTCGATAAAAAGTCACTCAGACCATTCGAATGTACCAAGGCCTGGCTTGGGGCATTGGTATCCCTGCGACCCTTTCCGTACTTATTGCGAATCTGGGAAGCCACGAGACTGTGATTTCCAGTCGGCTTGTTTGGAGTTGACTCGGCGACAATTCGAGCTGCGCGGGCCAGCTCAGTCGGGATTGAATATGCCTTGTTTCCGCTGGACGGGGTAGCTGTTGCGTCACGGTGGATGAGATGAGGACTTTCAACTGCTTTAGGACTATAGCCCAGAGGCGTGGCAGCCAATTTGGAGTTCTTTTTTGCTCCCTGTGATTTATCAAACGCCAAATTATTAAAATTGGGGTTCGATGTTCGATCTTTGTTGACTTTTGCGAGAGCTGCCAAAGCATCTTTCACTATAGTCGCGGCATCATTGCTGGTAACGTTACCATGACTCCGGTGGTGAAGACTTGTATGGCGGTGGTGAATATTATGATCTGCCGATGCGCAAGCTGCGAAGACAAAGGCAATTGTCAAGCTGAAGATCAGACCCACCGATCGCAGCTGATGAACCGCCGATCTCCTGTTGAGCTTCATCTTGCCAGCAACATTCAGAAACTCGATGCTGAAGGGATATGACTTTTGGGCTTTCTGTGAGCGAGAATCCGGTCATATGCGATTTTAGTCTAGGCTCACTTTCGTCGGTTCTCTTATTCTGGGGGCCGAAAAAAAGCCAGAAGCAATTTCCGCGATGCGACCATAAATCTACTAGGGTCCGATCTCCACTTTCAGTTCTTAGTTCCGCCCTAAAGCATGTCGGGACCAAACGATCTCATCGTCAACCTCACAAGGGCCTTGGCTAGTTGATTCGGTGTCTCAGTTGCATTCCTCGCCGCTATCGTTATTTTCTTGGCAAATGCGCTATTGACTACCATTTCATCGCTACCAAAAGGTGAAACATGTTCCTACGAAAATGTCGGTCGTTAGCGAGTGGTCCCAATATTTACCTTCGGCTAGATCCTTCCGAAGTGGGAAAACAAGGTAGGCCATTGGTGAGAAGTATACGCTAGATGGAAGCGAATCGGGGGGCCAAAATATCCTCATGCAACATCATTTCATTTAGTCCGGTGGCGACCCGGGGGCAGCAGATCTTGGCTAATATAATTTTGATAAAACAGAACGGAGAATCATATTGCCTTAATGAGCTCCCAGCTAGACTTGATACCCACCAAGAGATAATATCCTCCAGTATCTCTCCTGCTATGCTGGGTTCGTTCAGCCAGAAATGATCACCGTACGCCCAACTGGAGGAGCCCTCCTTTGGCTCCTTTTGATCTCCTTCTGCTTTATATTTACCAGTGCCAATGCACAAGATTGCAGTGCTTTGAACACATGCGCTACTGGATGCTGCAACAAAGGCGGATACTGCGGAATCGGTGATGATTACTGCGGTTCCGACTGCGTTGCGAATTGTGATTACGAGCCAGAATGCAGTGTCTCGAAGCCCTGTGCAAGTGGATGTTGCAACAGCTATGGCTATTGTGGTCTGGGACCAGACTGTGAGTTTCTCAATCCTCTAAAACCTAGTTACCGTGTCTTTCTAGAGCATATTTCTGACATGAAATTTCAGTTTGTGCCGATAAGGTTTGCGTGGGAAACTGCGACAGCAAGGCAGAGTGCGATCCCGGCAAATATGGTGACTATGCGGAATCTTCCAAATGTCCATTGAATGTCTGCTGCTCGAAGTTCGGCTTCTGCGGCACTACCGAAGAATTTTGTGGCAAGACAAAAGTCAAGCGCCCTTCCTGTGACAAAGATGGATCTCTCAATCGAGTCGTAGGGTACTACGAGGGTTGGAGTCCTTCACGTCGCTGTAATACGTTCTACCCCGAACAAATCCCTGTGGGCATCTATATACACTTGAATTATGCTTTCGCGTCGATCGATCCAGATACATTCGAGATCGTCGCGGCCACCGAGAGCGAGAAAAAGCTGATGACGCGCTTGACGGATCTTAAGAAGGTCGATCCCGATCTCAAAGTCTTCATTGCCGTTGGTGGCTGGACTTTCAATGATCCTGGAGCCACCCAAACTCTGTTCTCGGATCTCGCTGCGTCGGAAAGCAATCAGAAGAAGTTCTTCAAGTCCCTCCAGAGTTTCATGTCTATATACGACTTTGATGGGATTGATCTTGACTGGGAGTATCCCGTGGCGGATGACCGTGGCGGTCAAAAGAAAGATTTCGACAACTTCCCCAAGTTCTTGGCCAATTTGAAGAAATCCCTTAAGTCTACTGGTGGCCGCGATGGAGTCAGCATTACACTGCCCGCTTCTTATTGGTATCTTCAACATTTTGATATCGCAAACCTACAAAAACACGTCGACTTCTTCAACATCATGACCTATGATATGCATGGAAAATGGGACTTGGGCAGTGAATGGGTTTCCCCTATGCTCGACTCTCATACCAACCTAACAGAGATTACCAATGCTCTCGATTTGCTCTGGCGAAACGACATCAAGTCTGATAAGGTCGTCCTGGGTCTTGCATTCTACGCTCGAGTATTCACTGCTGCTGACCCGAGCTGCATGGAGCCTGGTTGTTTGTTTGTTTCCGGTGGAAACGCTGGGAAATGCAGTCAAGAAGTTGGCATCTTACTGAATTCTGAAATTATGGACATCATGGATAAGCAGTCCCTACAGTCCACGCTGGATAAGGAGGCTGCCGTGAAGATTCTCAAATTTGACGACAACCAGTGGCTTACCTACGAAAATTCAGACACATTTAAGCTGAAAGCCGACTTTGCCCGAAGCCAATGCCTTGGTGGTGTGATGGTGTGGGCGGTTTCCCATGATTTACCCCAAGGTAACTTTTCCCGAGCCCTTGGAGATGCCGTGGGCAGAAGTGAAGTCCCTTGTCAACAGCGGTGAATTAGCGTCAATGGAGGTCAAAAAGACCCATCCGCAGTGCAAGTGGACGAATTGCTTCGACGATTGCCCTAGTGGATGGTCGCGGGTTCGCCGTACAGATGACGGTGCCCGTGAAGGCGAGCACATGTGGGATTCTACCGCATGTAGTTTTGGACAGCATACGTTCTGCTGCCCTCCTGATGCCGAACTTCCCAAATGTGGATGGTATACCCATAACAATGGTAAATGCAATTCGGAGTGTCCTTCTGGCTACACTGAGATTGGATCCAACATACAATACTGTTCTAACGACTTTAACGACTACCAAGCTGCTTGTTGTACAACTGAAACTCCCAGTATGAAACTTTACTCCAAGTGTGACTGGGCGGGAAAACCACGGAAATGCGACGAGGAATGCCCTAGTGGCAAGTCCGAGGTGGCTCTGTCAACTACCGGCAGTGGTGGTGTATACTGCGACGTTACTTCTTTCAAATACACAATGAACGGCCAAGAGGGCACAAGTTGGGAGGAACGCAGCTACTGCTGTAGTGAGGAAGACGATGTTGAATGGAGTAAATGCGAATGGCGTGATGACATTGGCCTGATGCTCGACAAAAGCTATGTTGACGGTTACTGTCTCCCCGGCTGTCCGGATGAATACGTGCGTGTCGCTATTGATCAACACGGTGGTGGTTGCAAAGGCGACGGTGGCCGAGCCAAATGCTGCTTGCCAAAATATTCAACAGTCAGCAAGAGATCATACACCACGCGGGAACAGAGTCTTGATGACTTGGTTAAAGGGTTCATGGATGATCCGAGTTGTGGAGCGGACGATTACAACTTGAAGAGGGATCTCGCGGGCTTTGAATATTCTGTGGGAAATACCTCTTTGTCCGATCTGTCTGGTACTCGAACTCCAACAACACTTCAACGCCGCTCAACAACCAAACAGCTAGATGCTATCTATACTGTTGCATACGCCCTTGCTGTGCAGTTTACAGTTAATGCAGCCTACGAAGAGATCTGGAAAAAACGTGTGCTGCCATCATACCCACATCTTACAGTCAAGGCTATTCGCAATTACCTGACTACGTCTGAGGACTGGGCTGAAGGAGGTATAAGTTATAAACTAGAGAAGGTTCTTTGCGCCCCAAGCATCTTCGACAGCAAGTTTGCAGAAAGAAGCATTGTCTCCTGCGCATGCGAAACAAGCGATTGCTGCGATGCAAACGATCCGGATTCCTGTTCGGATCTTGACGGTGATGATGATGATTCTACTGCTCTTAGCAAAAGAGTTTTAGATAAGAGAGCCTCGCGAACGTTCGATGTCGATTTATCAGACGGTGGAGCGCATGCTACGATCACTTCTTGGACGGTATTAATCTTCAAGTCCCAATCAACGTATTTTTAGTGCTAATCAGACGATCAGTATATCGTGCGTGGCAACATTCGAGGAAATAATCCCATCTTGGATGAAGGTTATACCTACGATGACGCTGAGGACTGCCTCAATACTCAAATCGCTTTGATGTCAGTTTCGATGGCGAATATCGGAAGATATCAGGGTACGTTCTTGGTGACCTTGTTTACCCTGAAAGTTTACTCAATTTACTAATTAATCAAGTCGAACATGTCGTTGAGTTGAACACCGTTGCCTTTTTCCTGAGAGATGCAGCCAATGGGGTCCTCAGGTCTGGTGGTGTGATGAGACTCGGTCGAATTTCAGTGACCTTCGTTAGACAGGCTCTGATGGCGCCAGTTCTTACCAACCCACCAGTAATGACTGGTGCCGACCAATCCTTGACTCCCATGACCCGGATTATGCATGCTTTGGGTAGCCTGAACAACCAAGCTGATTTCAACCTTTTGCTTAATCGTTTGAACAACTTAAAATCCAGGGTATTTGATCATTTACAATTTTTTTTTTCTGGAGATGACCAAGTTACTTATCATTTCTTTTCTCTAGCTCTGGCTTTCAAAAACACTCATCCTTGATGAAAAAATGGAGAAAGCAATCTCAGCCGATGACCCGAATCGCGCATTGATACATCTCCGCGAGCCCCTCACTATTATTTCCTATCTCAACCATCTCAGAATCCAGCCTGACATGATCGACACTTTTAACACAATTCACGTAGAATTCGGTCGAGCAGATACGTACTGGGTGAATGCTGGACATCCAAACCCGCAGTCGCAAGCCAGATGGGATGAATGGGTTCCTGACTTATTAGATAGTGCCACTCAGAATGTTCGCACGTTTGTTGAAAATTGGGGGGATCAGATGTATAGGTTTTGGGCAGTCCGGACTGGTGATAACGTTGCGCAAACGCTCGAGATCATTATGACTTTGCGAAGACAGGCTAAAACTGCGAGGATTAATCCGAATGGCCTGGATTGAAAATATCAAATGACTAGTTATATACAAGATGTAGTTAGAAGAAAAATGAACTGAATTTATTTGAGCAGTGGGACATGCAATTCAACCTCTCATCTTTCACCCATTTGTAGCACCCTCCATATCTAAAGCAGTTGGTGGCGTATATACTGAATTGAGTAGCTCAATTCACCGAATCAGGAATCTCTCTTGCGACTGACTTAGTGCTTTATTGGTGGCTGTACGGCCTTTTCCATTTGACCTGCCCTGCTGCCGGCTCCGGAGCTTTCACTTTGACACGCCAAAATGAGAGGCTGCGGCCTGAATACTATTAAATTGGCCTAATTTATAAGCTTTAAGGGCATCCCAAAGAAGGATCTCTTCTTGTTCGGAGAAAATCGGCATTGTTTTGGTGGTAAAAGGGGCTCTTGGAACCGACTCTGCAGGTTCTTCAAACACTGCAACTAGGGAAGCTCCGTGACCTGCGTATCTTATGCAGTTTTGGTTCGTAGTTCTAAGTATTCGTCTTACGCCACTACACAGAAAGAAGAAATAGAAGTCAAACAGATTAGGCAGAATTCAACGCAATATAATAACATTTAACGAAAATTCTGTCTTTTCTATAACTTTTGATATTCATATAAATCTTCCTCTCTTCGTATACGCTTCGGAACCCGCCCAGATATACGCCTGTGGGCACAGCTTTTCTTTGAAAGAGGTATCCTGTCTTGTTCAATAAGCAGGGTACTAGGTATGGCTGTTGCTGTTGGTTCGATTCTTGGTCTCTTGCCAAGGACACTCTCGTCGGTTAGCTGATTCCGCTCAAATGTTGTATCAGGGTAGTCCTCTTCCTCCTCCTCATTATCGCTCATCAGATCGAACACTTCCTTTTCATAACTATGACCTTGCCAAGTCGATTTGCCCGCAAACGACTCTGGTGCCCCCTAAGCCCCCAAGGTCACTAGTAGATCTCAGCATCTCCAGTCAGGGTCTAACGGTCCCTTTAATGGACAGAATAGATTACCTAGGTAAATTCTTGGATAAACAAGATCCAGAAAACACTGAAAGAGTTGAACCAACAAATAGAAGCTTCCGAAGATATCAGCATGCTGGTTGGCTTTTGTTTCTCAACCTTAGAAAAGGGAAGACTTCGCTACAACATTAAGAAAACTCAAAGCTAATCAACAGAAAGCCCCAAACAATTGGCGAGGTACTGCGCACTCCGCACTCCGTACACTAGGGCAAACTCAAAGATTGTCTTGGTAAACTCGGTTGGGGTTTCAAATGTTGGCTTGGCAGCACGTGTTTGGAGACTCGGACTTTCCCTCCTCTCTTCTCCACTCCCTCAAATTTCACGCGAACATCAGTTCAACATGGACGAGCTCCAAAATAGCCTTGGCACTTACCCAGACTGGGGATATGTCATCTATCGCACTACCTACTCTGCTGAATCGGAAACTCTATTCCCAGTCGCTATCAGGTACATTGAAGCCTGTATTAAGAGATCATTCCTCCGAGACCACAAAGAAGATCCTACAAATAAACCCAACGAAATTTGCGCCAAATACCGGTCGACTATTGTGCAAGATCCCGCGGAATTCAATGGGGCGTCTCTCGAGGCAATTCGCGCTCATTTTGAAGCGTGGGTGGAATCTCAAGGCATGCGTGACCGCTGGACCAAATGGCGAATGTGCATGATTATTGATGAAGAATCTCTGCAAACACTGAAAGGTACATCAGCAGAGGCCCTTGAAAATGAGAGCCCATACCATTCCGATGATGAGCTACGATGTGTAAAGGTTCTTGAAGCATTCCCGGAAACAGATCAGTATGACACCTTTCCGGGGTGGATGAGATGTTGGACACGGTGTCTTTGGGATCTCTGGATGATGATGGGAGATGCTAGTGAGATGAGGCAGTTATTTGACGGCATTGATGATTTTCCATTTGAGGGGGTGTACTGCGGATAATTCAAAGCTGTTTCGGTCTATGGCATTAGAGATATGTGATTCTCAGGTTGTGGAAAATATTGTTCGACGGGCAGTCAAATAGAGAAGAAACACATTTTTCATTCATTGATCGCGATAATATATGATTACAACATAAGGCCCACTGTGATTGCAATCCACATGTTTAAGGTAAACAGGAGTACGAACAGTAGCTACATTCGTCAAAGAAGATACGGGATCGGACATTGATACCGATTAGTTGGGAGGCTTGCAGGTTTCTGTCAAATTTAAGAACTCTATCCTTTTTTCTTTGCTTGGCTGTTTTCACCTCGAGTAAACGTCCACCCTCCCTGTCTTCAGTAGCAGTCCGGCCCTCCAATGTAGCCCTACACAATAGTGATGCACCATAAACGCCATCAAGTTACACGTCACGCTTATAAGCCGGTGGCTCCAGGAACTAGCCAAAGTTCCCCGGAGCAAAGTATTGTTCCTGGAGGATGTTTAGCTCCCAGAGCTGGCCTATACGTTCCTGAAGTCGATAGGGCCTGTGTATAAAACTGTCTCTCAAATCCTTTGACTCGTCCTTGAAGGAAGTCGATCCCAGAGACAGCCCCATTGGCTTCAGGAATGTACAAGCTGACCCTGGGAGCTTGTGGATACACACATTGATGAATACAAACTCTTTTGATTCTCCGTTCCCGGGCGCTTTCCCTTATTATTCGGTCTTATAGTCCCTGTATATGGCAAGCCGTTTCGTGCCGCCAGGGAATACCTTGAAACTGCTAAGCCAGAGGCATGCTTTCAATGCTTCGCAAGTAAAGGGCTTCCGGACAAGGTTCGCTTTCAGATGTTTCATAACCCCGGGTATGTTGCGCCACTTCGATACTATTCACCTTAAAGAGGAACCACTCAAATGCAACTGGTATGAAGTAGGCTTACTACATCGAATGGCTTCCTAGCGTTATACTTCTAATATACATCACGTGCGGAGTCGCTGGCCATGCTCGAATCCGATACAGGGACTTCAAAAATAAGAATAGATCGGCTATAAATCAACGAAGCCATTGTCTCGGTATCAGAACTACCTATATGAAGCAGCACAAGGATCCAAATGTTAGGTAGGAGTCTGTGATAAAAGACCGCTCTTTATTAATTCTCGGGATTAGCCTAATAGCTTGGGAAGTGGATTCTAAGTCTGTCTTCGAACCAACGAAGTCCCTGTACCCAACTCAGCACTTAATATTTTATATATGCTATTTCAGTTTTGTGCAATCTAATCGGGTTGCATATATATATACAATAAATCACGTAAAGTAGTGTCCAATTGTCTCTTAGCAGTAGCCTACTCGAACTGTTGGCTCTCGGGTATATAATAAGCCTTGTGCCCTAACTCTGGCTTAGTCAGACTTCTACTTTCCTCCTACCTGGTCAACCTAGTACCTAGGTATACGTCTCTTCTTTTCAAGCCACGATAACCAGTCCGTTAATGTGAGACCCCTAGGTATGGAATGCCTAAGGGAATGCTGTATATAACGGAGGATCGGGAAATAGAGATAGTGATATACGCAGTGGTATATTGGAACTAATAGCTGCTTCTCTAAAGAAGCAGCATGCGAGGATAATATACAGGTTTATGGGTCACATGACCTAAGGAGGCTGTGCAGGCAGTACGCATTACTCCTGTCTAGTCTATAGTCCCCCACGCACCTAGGATAGGTGCTCCACGTACTATGACAGGTATTATATTTCAGGTATCAGCCTTCTTAGTATTGGGGTCCTGATAATATCCCCCTCCTTATGGTATGCGGTCCCCGTAGGCTCGGAATAGGAGAAGAACAAAGGAGCAGCTTAGTCTATTAAAACCCATATATCTAAAAAACCTCGCAGTAAGGGTAAAAAGGTATACAGGGAAAGGTATCTAGCCTCAATACTCCAAAAATATAGAAAATGATATAATAGAAGTATAAACAGAGGGTATAGTATATATAACTGTGCTAAGAAATCAGGTAGCCATAGTCTCTAACGAATACAGTATATTAGTTGGCCTATAAACTCAGGTATCTTATATACGTAAGGTCTGGCTGAGCAGTTGTTTACTAGTAAGAGTATACAGTTAGGATAAAGGGAGATACCATACCTATATATACCCAGGGTGTACCCCAATTTATTATTACCTAATAGTAAAAATTGTGATTAATTATTCGGGTTATCATCCCTAGGGCCTAGAGTCGATACTACTATTAGCTATACTAAGAGCTAGTATACTAATTCTATTATTAATTAAGGCTTACCTAGATCAAATCCGATTAGCAAAAAACGTGTGTTATATAGGTTAAGCGCCGGGAAGTAGGGTCTAGGAAAAAAGACTTAGGGTTAGAGGCTGCTAGCGGTCCTTACTAGCTAGAGACAAGTGCTCATAACCTAATAACGCATCTAACTACGTTATGCCTGAAAAGGGGAAAACAACTAGTATAGATTCGCTAAGATCTAATAGACGAGGAGAGAGAAAGAGAGAGGAAGAGGGAGCGGAGCTATCTAGTGATCTAGACCCATATAGGTGACCGCCTTCCGGTCACCCAACAAAAAGTGAGGGAAAGGGAGGAGTAGCAGCGAAGACGGGTCTTTTATGTCGGCGGCATTGAAGGTAGGTTACGTGACAGCGTATTGGGGCGCTAAACCCAAAAAGGCAAAACTAACCTAATACAGTAATTCACAGGTCCGCCGTTTACAATATCAATCTCATACTTACAAAGTACGAACGCCAATTCAACACTCCGTATGCAGTATAGATTCTCCATCTCTTGCTTGGATATACTAAGTTTAGGTTTCTAGTCCATGGATATATGCAAACACGGTATGGATCGTGGTATGTTCTTGTTGAGCCACGTCAGATATTCTTGGCAGCATGATATCCATCTTGTATACATCCAGTACTGAATTTTGGTGGATTGAAAATCCTCGAGCCCCCTATCTTCCACACTGGTTCCCTTGAGATTGAAACTGTTTTCCTCGAGTGCAGAAGATTCTCCTGAATTAGGAAGTACAATTTGACCTTAAACATTCTGTTTTATTATACCTCCACCGGCGGGTCTAAACACTTTCAAGAAACGATCAGATTTTAGCAGAGAACATCAACATAATCATAGGTTTTAGGACATCCTGGCGTTCTCTTTTTCGAGTATAGTGATTATTTGGAGCCGTGAGACCGATGATACCAATGAACGTCCGATTTGAGACCCTCGTTTATGCACGTCTGCTTCATCTTAATCAGTTCGTTAGTATAGACTCTCGGGCCTCGTCGATATCTCAATACCTAGATCCACATGGGCCTTTTGGGAGAGTTGCATGGGCCATCAAAGTCTATGGGGATATTGATGTGACTACAGTGTAGTGATGCAATTGAAGAAGGAGAGAGTTGTCAATTCCTAAAGGGCAGAATGCCCAACTATCTAGTTATGGGGGTTGGTGCCTGCCGCATCGGGCTGATGGTCAGGTGACCACCATGTCCAACAGATATCTATGTCTACGTAGTCACAATCTATCATGTACATACTAACCCTCAACGATCCCCATCTAACATAAAAGGCTCCATGTTACCTTCAATATGAGACATTCTCTCATACAGTCCCATTTTAACAACCAGAACAACCTAAACCTTTTTACACAAGATGCAAGTGGCATCTTCTTCTTCCGCTGTCCCAGCCATTCCTTCCGTATACGAGACCGTGCAAGGCTACAAGGTCCCCGTCTTCTTTTCGTGCTACCCCGCCGGAATCAGCATTGCCGCTCGCAAAGTCGAAGATGCCCTTAGAAAAATCGACGAGGAAGCATCCGAGGAAGGTACACGGGAAAGACGTCGAGCAGTAATCCGACACACCAACCCCTACGGTAACCCCTTTACTATTTGCCACTGCTCGGCCTTTCCAGATAGATTAGTTCTGTTGTCTACGCTGGTCGAAGTAATGTGGATCCATGATGGTGAGACCCTAATGTGCTCGGCATATATGTAGTAGTGTGCTCACGACGGAACTATCTACAGACGTGACAGAGGAGATGGATCATATCTCAGTAAGACCACTAGAAGTTTGTAAATGGATAACCCATTAACAGTTTACAGGCATGCCGAGAACACGACGAGCTGGCAAAAGTTCTTCAAATCGACATTGACCCATCGATCTTCGAGGCTGGAAATGTGCGCCAAAAGGCGCTGGCGGTCGTGCTCCGAAAGGCAATCGACATCGACCCTAAGCAAGCCCCCGATATGATCGAGATGCTCAGAAAATACCTGGCAACATTCGACAACATCGGTGGCGACTTCACGCGAATGGAGGAGTATATGCCCTACCGGATCTCCAACTGCGGCTACTGGTAAGATCTGTACCCTTCTAAGAAAATACATGGTAAATGTCTGTTTTATCATCAAGGATGTCCTCTTACTTCATCCGCTGGGGAATGGATATGACCCTCAGTGAGGAGGACTACGCCAGCATCGAGCAATTCGACATTGCAATGGGGAATGTCCTCGGTCTGACTAATGACTACTTCAGTTGGAATATCGAGAAAGACCAGGAGACAGATCGGGTGAGAAATGGAGTGGTGGTTCTGATGAAGGAATATCATACCACGGCGGATGCGGCAAAGATGATGCTTCTTGGTGTTATTGTCGAACAGGAGTCCCTGGCTGCAAAGCTCAAGGAGGAAAGATTGAAGAAGCCGGCTTCAAAGGAGATCTTGCAATATTTCGAGGCTATTGAACTTTATGTTGGTGGAAGCTGCTATTGGCATTCGACTGCGCCTCGGTATCAGGTCTTTGAATGAAGGTAGATAAAGACACTGGTGCAACTCTGAGGTACATTTTATAGAGGAATAGATTTGTCTAGTAAAGGTCACGGACTTTCATCGACTATCATCTACGTCGAATATAGATGCATTAAAACCAATCGATGGCTGAAAAATGAATCAGATTAATATACAATAAATGAAGAAGACACGCTGCATCGAAATAGACAACAAAAATCCTCCTCGTAGTAATTTCATAGATTTCAAATCCATATTCCCTCAAGAGGATTCGGGATAAAGAATTCGCAACCCAGATGAGCTGCTTCACCATGAGCCTGGAGCTCCCTCAGAATCTGTTCTCCGGGGTGAGGCCCATCGGTAAGATTCTCCTTGACATGAATTATGTAAATCTTCAATCCTTCCAGAGGAGGGTCAGTATCAGCCCAAGTCTCAGAGTCCGGACTTCGCAGAACATCCCCGAGGTCCACTTTAGGTATCTGAGGAAGTTCCACCGACTCTCTCGGAAGCGGACGAGACTCAACAAGTGACTCAGGCGTCCTGCCTTTATCGGCAGAGGAGCTTAGCGTCCGTTTCGAACGCGGGCTCACTTGCTCGCTGCCGGTCTCGAGCGGGTCCGCGGGTTCGCGCTTGCGCTTTTTATCACCCCTGTTTGAATCCCGCACTTCCATGACTCTGCGGGCCAGCGCGGTGAGCTCGGAGACTAGATGTCGTGGACACATGTGGCCGTACAGATATGAGTCGTCGGTGCCGTCATTGTAGGAACATTCGATGAAGATTGCTCGTAGCTTGCCCGTGGCGATTTTCGGTGCGGCGGCCTCCCATACTCGTTTGTTGTGCGTTCCCAGGGAGACTGCATCCGGCTCAACGTCACCGAAGACGATGATCTCGGAGCCGGTGTGATGATCGCGCAGGAAGAAGGCGGAGCTTTCGACCGTTTCCATCACTGGCTCTTTGGATTTGGATGGGAGTAGATGTGGAGAGCGAGCGGGGGAATAGAAACTGACAACGGTTAGGAAATTTTCGTGTACAAATTGCGAATTCCAGCTTACCTGCCATCGGTATGGTCCACTGAAATCGCCCTTGAGGGAAACATCAAGTGGTGATCAGAAAAGACGGTACTCCCGACTCGATGAGGCCCCCCATTTTCTGGATGGTATCGTTGCTTGCACCGGCCATGGCTCACGCTCAAGCATTTTGTCAATAGGCCATTACAAGCCCTGACATAGCCTCTACTATCGCCACGACCGAAACGAGGGTTTCCACCTTCCACCAAGCGCTGATATGTGAGTAGACCAGCGCCGCCATCTTCATCCGACAAGTTAGGCCAGATGACATCGTTGAACATGTGGTTCTTGATGGCGGATAGCACGGATGGCAAAGCGGCCACAGGTTTTGGGCCATTACCCGCCTCCAGGATCGGTGTGTTAATCGCCAGCCCTGAGATATGATCTAGATGAGGGTGTGTGATGAGAACAGCACCGATGATTTCGCGAAATACATGCGCTGCATTTGCCTGCGCTGTTCTGCAGGGCAGCTCAAGCCCCTGAAAGGGCCCACTTGTCATCACCCCCCGATCATCCTTGCATTCGGGGAGAAACCGTTCCATCAATCGAATAATTCCTGCAAGAAGGGTACCCGCATCCACGGCTACCACCGAGTTAGAAGACCATTTCGTTGACGTTGACCGGACAAGAATGCCTGTGACGCAGTCTTCGCGAGGTCCACCCGTCGGGCCCTGAGGGGGTCAGCATCCGGAAAAGAAGGAGTTGCAAGGTTCCGTCTGCTAGAACCCGCCATCAGGCAAGATGCGAGAACAATTTTCTATCGCCAAGATATCTACGAAAGCTCGACGTCCGGCCCTGCACGTGACGGGTTCTGCAACAGAAACGGAACAAATCAACGGGTTCTGACTTACCAAGACAATGACGTGGAATGCTGGGTTCTCAGCCATTGTTCCACTTGTCCCGCCCGTCCTGGACATGTGAGACACGCGATAAGCTAGACTTGTCACAGCCCAAGAGCAAGTGAAGCTGCCCGAGCGCGTCTAATCCCCAATAGCAGACAGGTCCCGACGACGGAATGTTTCACAAAGGCTCAAATGGGTTCGTCGATGGTCGAATCAAGGATATGAGAGGCGTAAGACTGAAAAAAATGAAAAGAGATTACGTCGCGATGCGATATCAGCGCCCACGGGTTGGGATTCGGACTGCTCAAATATGTATGTCCAAACTGACAGCGCTCTGCATATCATGTGTCATACACAGAGTAGGTCTATCTCCAGGAAGCAGAGTTGGTCCTAATAGGGAGAGAGAGTGACAGGCGCGAAGCGACAGAAATCCGGAGGCTGGCTGAGTGCAGATAAGAGAACTCCGATTTCGCGGGGGTGGAGATTTCCCCTTGTATCACAATGTGGTGCGCAAGACACTAATGCACGTAAACTGCAGTGCCGATTGGAGGATATTTTAGAAAGCAAAGAGACGTTCGATCGGAGACACCGGGAGTGGACCTGGTGGATTCTAGTGGGGTATGATCTCAACGTAGCCACGGATTCGGAATGAAAATCTGGGGTCTAGTAGATATCAGATCGACCTTCTAAGATGTCTGGAAGGTATCGGAGGGAGTTGATTCGGTCGATGACGTTCACACTACGATCCAACATTAAAACAGATTCAGATGGCTCGAGATATACATTGTTAGTGATCAGCGAATGACCTGTCAATAGATCTGCTGAATTTCAAGTAGATGTACAGAATTAACATAAAGAGGGTATGCGGTCAAGGGCAAGGATAGCAAAACGACTGTGCCCTTATACATGAATTCATTGAATGACTCCCCAAAGGTAAGGGACGATATGGACACAGTCCATTCCAATCCAGACAGAAAGCATTTCACAAAAACCAAGGATCTGCCTTCGCCGACTGCTATAACGCCTTCCGTGAGCCCGCTAAATAAAACAACAAAGAAATGATCAGACAAAGCCCATCATGCGCCACAAGGTATGTTCAAAAGCAAAGGGGGAATAGATGTTGCATCAGGACCGATCGTTGGCCTCTGAATTTTGTTCATTCAAGTCTCTCTCCACCACAGTCTGGTAGCTTGGCAGAAGTTGACCATCATTTGATGGACAGTTAGGGTCGTCAGAAGACCCAGAATTAGGGGGACATTCACGAGAGACATCACTGCCCCGGCGACTGCCGTCGGGACTAGAATATTCTGGGGGCGGGGCCTCTGGCTCTTGATTCTCGGGAGCTGCCGCACCTTGGCCCTCTGTGTCGGCCAAAGCAAACCGGCTAGAGCCCTCGCCAGCATCTTCATGGGAAGGAATGTGGGTCAGCTGGGCGAGGGAAATGTCAGTTGGTGATCGAGAAGGACCTGGGCTAGGCGCCAGGGGAATCCTAACACTTGAGCCTGAGGTCGCGTAGTTTGCATTCTGGTAAACGCGTTGGGAGATCTGAGCCGCACTCTCACGGCCGGACTCAAGTAGAATGCTGCCTTGTTCACTGCCATAGGGTGGGGGCGGGGCGAGGCTACCAGTCATGGGAGCCAAGCCCCATTTTTTGACATTGCCTTCGATGAACACGAATCCCATTTGGCCAAAGTTCACATGGATAGTGCAAGGCCCGTTGGCACCGATGGTGGGGAAGAGGTTTTGGGAGCGATAGTTGTGAGCCACATCTTCCAATTTCTTGCCGTTGCGTGTGAAGAAGACGGTGCCGGATCGAGGTCGGTAGCCTACACCAACAACATCGCCCTGAAGGAGTGGAGGCCCGTATGGAGTGGGGTTAAATGGTTGGTTGAGTCGGCGATGTCCCGTAGATTGGTAGGCAACTGAGGTTTTATGGAAGCCTAGCGGTTGTTAGCGCGGGAATTCCTCGGCAAAGACCTTCAACACATACCAGGCATTCGGAATAGGGGATATGGTTTCGTAGTCACACCGATGCCGATCATAGTCGATTCAGGCTTGTCGTATATCTTTGCCTCCCAGTAGTAAACATCATTCTGCTTAGGGATTGGCAGGTTGGTCTGTACACTGCACTCCGAGTCGAAAAACTCAATTTCTGTTCGTCCTTCCACGAAGCAGTTTGCAATTTCCAGCTCTGGTTGGAATTCCCAGGCGGATACACCCTTTTCTTGGATTGCGAGGAACTGCGATAGGGAGATGTCGGTTTGCACGGACTCGGGAGGGTTTCCTTGGACAAAGGCTGCAGACGATTAGCAAACTGATCAAGCGACTCGCACGAAAATTCATCTCCAGTCTTACCTTTTGCTCGCAAATACTCCGATCGCGCCAAGTCATCCATTGACTCTAGAGCCACCTCTTCCTCGCGCAAGAACGCCTGCTCGTCATCGTATTCACCGGGCCTGCCAATGCGATCGAGCATAATCCGCCCCCGGCGGGTATATTTGAAAAAGAAAAAGATCGCTAGAACAGCAAATGCGACGGCAGCTGAGCCAAATGCGGACAAGATCCCAATCAAGATGCCTTTGCCGGTTGACCCGCTCGAGTTGCCACTTGCCAGCATAGGCTCGGGACGAAACTCCATCGACAAAGAGGACAGCACATTTTGTAGATTCGCTTGGATCTGTTGCTGCGAGAGTGAAAGATCGCTTTGGATGGGTGTCGGTGATGGTAATATCGAGGAGACAAAGCCAATCGGTGACGTCGTCGGGTTGCCTATTACTGTGCTCAGGGTTGATGGCAGGCCTGCGAGCGCATCGGGGCTCGAAGCCTCAAGACCCTGCATCGTTCATGTGTCAAGTGACAGCACAAAGAAGAAGAAAAAAATCACGATAAGTCGGGAATTAGTGAGTGAAGTGTGTAAAGAGGAGGTGAGAGAGAGAGAGAGAGAGAGATAAGTGGGCGGGATGAAATGGGCGGGTTCCAAGTTATCTAAGACGCTTTCGGCCGTGGACTAGAGCCCTGCACTAACAATGCAAGGCAATGTATGTTAAGAGTTGGTTCCTGGACTGAAGATCCTGGATTCTAGAATGTTGAAAGAATCTATGTCTTTGTCTTTGTCTTAGAGAAACTAACTTTTCGTTTAGAAATAGCTGTGGTATTAGTACCCCGTATGTTGTAGTGTCACCGATATGTCTATCTATCCCTAGGATAAGCCCTTCTCTCCTCTTCCCCTCTCCTAGCTCCTTACTGGAATCCCTCTCTCCCCTCTCTTTATACCATTCCTTAGATTCGAAGATGCGTGCAAATAGAGGTGCCCAGGGGTCTACGGCTCAGGACGTCATGATCAGTTCCCTCGACTCCTATAATATCCGCGTAGTGACACCTACCTCCTGCGATAAATACCCAGGTCAGTACACTTCTCCCTAGAGCGAACATTGCAAGGTCGGAATGCCTTCATTTGCCTTCATTTGCCCTTTACTTTCTCACATACCTGTTTGCTACTTCACCGAACCCCCGATCGGTGATCGGTGATCGTGTGAGACTCGCGCTGACTTGACCGCCCAGCCAAGCACCATGCACGTAACGTCGCCCGGAAGCTTGGAGCTTCAAGTGGCTTGATCTTCCTATCCGGACAGCCCACAATTAATCTGCACGATTCCGATCAATCGCGCCCATTCCGACAACGACGATACTTCTACTACCTGAGCGGAGTCGACGAGCCCGACTGCTTCCTGACGTACGATATCGAACAAGACCTGTTAACTCTTTATGTCCCGGATTTCGACCTCCGCCATGCTATTTGGATGGGACCGACCCTCTCACGGGAGGATGCGCAAGACCGATATGACGTGGACCATGTACGGTATCAGAGCTCGCTCAAATATGAGCTGCAGGCGTGGCTGGACAAGCGGAAGCAGGGCAGCGAGCTGTACCTAATCCATGACTCAGAAAAGCCCGAGCATCTACCAAAAGACCTGCCTCTGAATGTGGAACAGCTTGGGCCTGCTATGGACGCAGCCCGAGGCGTCAAGGACGAATATGAAATCCGCATGATCCGCCAGGCCAACAAAGTCTCGGGACTTGCCCATCGGCGAATCCTGGAGAATATCCAGACTATGTCCAACGAGTCGCAGATTGAAGGATCGTTCTTGAATACCTGTATCTCGCACGGCGCCCGGAACCAGGCATACCAGATTATCGCGGCATCGGGGCCCAACGCGGCTGTCCTGCACTACGACCGAAATAACGAACCTCTCAGCAAGAAACCCCTTGTCTGTCTCGACGCCGGCGCAGAGTGGAACTGCTATGCAAGTGATGTGACGCGGACCTTCCCGCTTACCGGCGAGTGGCCCAGCGACTACGTGCGGGATATCTATAAGCTGGTCGAGCGGATGCAAGAGGAGTGCATCCAGCTGATTCGAAAAGGGACGCGCTATCTATCTCTCCACGATCTTGCTCATGACATCGCGATCGAGGGTCTCCTGGCTCTGGGCGTGTTGAAGAACGGCACGAACCTCGAGATCCGCCAATCCGGCGCATCCAAAGTATTCTTCCCGCACGGTCTAGGTCATCATGTCGGCCTTGAAGTCCACGACGTGTCGGAGCGGTCGATCATGGCTCTTCACCAGGGGTTCGATCAGCTTCAGTATCGCCCGATCTTGGACTCTACCTGTCTTTCGCCGTGCACTCTTTCCGCCCCGCTGCTGGAAGAGGGAATGGTTGTGACCGTTGAGCCAGGGCTCTATTTCTCTTCTCTGGCTTTAGCCAACGCGCGCAACCAGCCGTCTGCCCGGTACATTGATTTCGACGTTGCGGAAAAATACGTTCATATTGGTGGAGTGCGCATTGAGGATGATATTCTCGTGACTGCGACTGGGTACGAGAACCTCACCACTGCGCCAAAGGGCGAGGAAATGCTTGCCATCATTAGAGGATCTGCATAGTGTAGTATTTAGTGCGATAAATAGCGGAGATATCCATTCGTATTAGGTTCAACAGGCTACAGTCTATCCCGTTTCCGTTGGGCACTACATAGAATGTGAGCCCTATGGGAGTTACAAGACCTGGTCGGGCACAACTAAAGAAAATATCACACCGCCAGTTTTGTAGACTTGGCAGCAAGCTAATCAATGTCCAATGTGTCACTAACTATACAACCTATACAAGACCATTAATAAAGCCAGCTGAGACGGGCTGCATCACAAGCCGGGATTGCATCGGGACTCGGCAATCCTAGGGGTAGGATAAATAGTACAACATAGGATATGGCACGTAAACCGTTATACGAGATCGGGAGATCGGCAGATCACATCCATGGATGAATTCAAAGTGGATAATAACATCTACGATAGACTGAACGAACCAGCGGAGTGCAATAGTGGCAATATTTCTCCCTTGATTGGAGGAGGATTATGGAGTTATGCGCATACTCCGTACTTCAATCTTTTAATCACTCTCTCTCTCTATTTTTGGGTAATTCATTATTAATATTTCACAATGTTGGGTGGAGAAGAGTAACTATGTTCTATATGAGGCAAATATGCAACTATGCAGTTGAATGTCGACTAGCGCGTTTAGAACTAAATATCCCTCATTTCCTTAGAGTTCGGAGACCGTAGCGGTACTTTGTACAATTCCATGCACTTCTCCGGGTATCGCTGCTCGCATCAACGCTAACGTCATTGCCTCTCCATAGTATAGCCGGATTTCCCGAGTTGATCGGGTTTCATATCCCGGCCATTTCTCGCACCCGAGAGCGGCTGTGACTCTTATTCCCTCATATCTTATGTATGTACAATATTATTCTCTGTTATGCGGCGGTATTGAATCATTTATAATTGGTCTAAATAGTATAATTAAAGGCTGCAAGTGGGGGAAATACGACATGCAGCACAGAAAAGACGTAATAATGATATGTATTATTATGGATAGCCGAAAGCTATAGTTAGACCGGTCCACACTCATTTACCAGAGGAACGTGCCCGAGTAGAATTAGAAATCAGAAGTCAGGTGGGCTATTAGAAATGGATATGGATATCCTCTTTGATTGATATGTTGTATGAATACAAATCGAGTCTGTGTATTTTAAGCAAAAGCAAAAGACGAGCCACTCCGAACTGGTCTATGAAAGCAAACGCTCATAAAAAAAGACTCCGTAATTCCATGACTGCAATCAAGGCCGCAAAACAAAAAGTGAATGAGTTTTGTCGCCTGCATCTTTGTACATCTCATCAGCATCAGAAAGGCCGTTCCCTGACGTCGTTTATGGCACAGTAACGGGAGGTCTATCTCGGACTTGACCCGGAGAAACCTGCATGGGAGGAAGAAGTGTTTGTCATCGGGTCCGACGTGTGAAGGGCCACCGCTCGAGGATGGGTCAGACAGTGCAGGTGGTGGTTGACATGCAGGTGATTTTGTTCAGTGGCTCCAGGTCATCGGTTTCGATTCGCGCTTCATATTCATTGGGGCTTGGCCAGTTGTGACAGCTTATCAGCCTGGTGCAGCAGCTTGTGTTGTTCCAATACGCGTTGGTGTTCATATTTCAGGAGCTTGAACTGGTCGTCTAGTTCATGGTGCCATGGGTATAGGACGAAGACTTGGAATGCCAGCGCTGACGAGGCGACTCCGAAGTTGATGAGAGAGATTCCGCGCGTGACCCACATGGTGGAGGATATTGAGACTACTTGATCAGTAACTAGCTTGCGAATGAGTGAATAAGAGACTCACTGTAAAGAAAGAAATGTAGTTATTAGACGTTGGGTAAAGCGCCGAGGATGAGTGATGAGATGTAGAGCAGATGAAGAGCAGAGACGGGTCTTGAAGGGATATAAGTAGGAACAAAAGGGGGCAAAGTCGAATTTTCTCGTTCCTTAAATTTGACTTGCAGCCTTTTCGGTATAAACATAATTCGATTTCGGCAGGAACCCCGATCAGTGGACCTGCGAATCAACGCCCAATCCGGTTAGAGTGGAGAAAAAGTGGAGCCGTATCGTGGCGGCAAAAGGTTTCCCCGACCCAAATTCTTATCTGTCGGAGATGGATCGTATCAGTCGGATCCGAAGAGATAAGAAAGAGCAGTTCAATTAAACTTACAACTCACTGTGTTTGTGTCTCTTGGAACCTCCTAAGAAGAAATTGATCATCGAGAGTAAGTGATTCCTGAGTGTCTTGGACTAAGAATACTACTAACGACTGCCTCAGCCTTGATCGCCCTCTCCCAGCCTCTATACACTGTCCAAGCCGACCACTACATCCAAAATGGACAACCAACCGAGTGTAACGCAGCAGCTGTTTGGCTGGGTAAGGAAAAACAAATACTCGCTAGCTGGCGCCACCTTCGTCGCCAGCATGGTCGGTTCCTTTGTGATGGTCGGTCGCAACCCGCATCTGACGAGCAAACAAAAGATCGTGCAGGCTCGTGTGTATGCGCAGGGTCTAACGCTAGCTGTCATTGTTTCCTTGGCCGCCCTTGACATGTCAGACCGACGAAAGCCAGCGCCGCGGAAGGAAGCGGTCAAGCTGGCTGATGCATAGAGCTAGACTGTGATTTCCAGCCATCATAGACGGGGGTATAGACGGGGAGATATAGAGATGTCGATATGTATTTGTATATTACAGCCTACAACATAGAGGTCTAACAAACCAGACAAAATCAACTCTTAGATGCGATGTCTAATTGTTCGGTACTCAATTAGACTCTCAAATTATGCATACGTTGAATTCGTGCATCTTCAAGTCATTGAAAGCGGTTTGCTTTTGATACGCGTTGCTTGATTACAGCCAAGACGAAGACATATGCCTAGTAGCATTGTCGTTATATTAATTCCTCGGACCGAGGTCCTTCTATGACTCAGACGAACAGCGGTATCATCATGGCTTCGGCCGAGGCTACTAACAATGGAAGGACATGGAAATCCTATCTTGTGTGACGGGGTAAATAGTATCCATAATAAAGGAGCTTATACTCTGGAAAGAAGGATGCTGTAAAATGCGAGAAGCGCAAAGAAACATGTGAGAAGTCAGCCCTATTTAAAGATTTGCACGTGTCAAGGATGTCTATGTTGTACAAAGATATTTCATCAAACGAAGTCATAGAAGACTAAAGAGCAACAAAAGATAGTTAGTCCGAAATCTAAACAACATGAAACCCTTTGTTCTATTATTATAATTCAATAATATATCCGAGATATCCATTAGCCCCTCTCTTCCATTGCTACCCGCTTAGCCGGACGATCTCCCTTTCTACTGCTTATTCACAGTAGTACCTGATTAAAGGGGAAATACCTCTTCTAATAGTCGACAGTAAGCAGCTTAGACTCAAAGAGACAATGATGTCTTCGTACTCGTCTCCGGGTATTTAGGGGCTAACTATACAGTATATATAAGCTAAGACCACTAACATCGCAAAGCTACATACTCTGTTATTTATTCCATCTCATTATCCACTTTCTGCATATTCCCAACAATCTTCTGCTCCTGTTTACCGCCCCAAGTATACGAAGCAGCCCTGAATTTTGCATTTTCAATCCACTGATCACGAAATATGAAGAATCTGTGTAATCAGAAAGGGTGATCACTACAAACTTCGACCGGGCTTCTCACAGGTTGCCATTTTGTTGACTTGCAAGGTATACCTGATGCGGAAGTTGCAAAACATCCTCCTGTTTGAGTGGTTCGGTAACACCCAAATCAAGAATAAACCATCTTTTAAGAGGATCCGGTGAATCGAAATCAGCTGGGATATGGATGTGGTCATAGCCCGCCGGGTGAAGTGTAGGATTGAATGCTCGATTCAATATATTTTCACAGAAATCTTCCCCAATTTCGACGTGGCGCCGTTGGGGGCAACCGTCTATATCGGTGATGCAGGCGTAAATGACTACTCTGGAGGGATGGAAACCCATATCAACAGTGATGAACAAGGCGAGAAAGCCGTTTTGTTCGGATGTTGCGCTTTAGATGAGTTTAGATAGACACTAACTATTTAATTATGAGGGGTTAGAATCTAGATGCCCCGTGGCTAGTGGGTTGCTGTGGCTGGTCGAGTGTGGCTTCCAGATGAGTGTTCATGCAATTAGATCCATGCCGCCTTATGACCCTGCAGTATGCACAAAGACCAATGAAGGTTCCAAGGTTGATATCGAGAGAAACTTTATTTCAAGAGGACTTGAAACGCAGAGGGAAGGAGCGCCGTATTCGCCGAGCAGACATCTCCCAGCTTCAAGGCATGGCTAGGAACATCTTGACGTACGCGATATTTCTATATGATTAGTCTGATTCATGGCATCTTAGTATGACTGGGCAGTCAAGACTACACCATAAATGGGATACGAATAAGAGCAGATCAAAGGCAAAACAAAGCTGAAACAGGAGTATACCGCCATCATCGATGTAACCGAACCGTGAATAAGCGGCGCCGATGATTGGATTTATGTCATCGGCGCCGATGTCGGAGTTGGTGGGGTTGGATCTTGAAATTCACACCCGCCTTTATATTCTGAAGCTCCCTACCTGTAATCGAGTCAATCATTCCTCTTGATACTATTGCATAATGGCTTCTTACAATATTGTTGTTTTCGGTGGTGACCACTGTGGTCCTGAGGTATGTCATTGGAACATTGAACGCTCGCGGGGAATCGAATACAGGACTGACATAGAATAGGTGACCGCTGAGGGTGTCAAGGTAACATTGCAAGCTGGAATTGGGAAAGCGCGGAATAGATGTACTAATTGAATCCCAGATCCTCCGCGTCATTGAGAAGTCCCGTGGTCTTACTTTCAACCTGCAGGAGCACCTGCTCGGTGGTGTGAGTATACACCACCTACTCGACAAACGCCAATGACTAACAATTACAGGCCTCCATCGATGCCACCGGCTCACCCTTGACCGACGAGGCCTTGAACGCAGCCAAGAACGCCGATGCCGTTCTCCTCGGTGCCATTGGCGGTCCCGTACGTCTCTATTCTCCCCCCACCCCGCACAACTAAGAACAAGCCTACTCACACTGCATACAGAAATGGGGCACCGGCGCCGTGCGCCCAGAACAGGGTATCCTCAGACTGCGCAAGGAAATGGGCACATTCGGCAACCTGCGGCCCTGCAACTTCGCCGCGCCCTCGCTAGTCGACAGCTCCCCGCTCAAGGCCGACGTCTGCCGCGGAGTCGACTTCAACATCATCCGTGAGCTGACGGGCGGCATCTACTTCGGCGAGCGCACGGAGGACGACGGGTCCGGATACGCCATGGACACCGAGCCCTACTCGCGCCACGAGATCGAGCGCATCATCCGTCTCGCCGCCACCCTCGCTCTGCAACACAACCCGCCCCTGCCTGTCTGGAGCTTGGACAAGGCTAACGTCCTCGCTACCAGTCGGCTGTGGCGAAAGGTCGTCACTGAGATCATGGAGAAGGAGTACCCCCAGCTCACTATCGGTCACCATCTCATTGATTCGGCTGCTATGCTGATGATCAAGGACCCCCGTAAGCTGAACGGTATTGTTGTTACCAGCAACTTGTTCGGTGATATCATTAGCGATGAGGCTAGTGTCATCCCCGGCTCTCTGGGTCTGCTTCCCAGTGCTAGTTTGAGCGGTATTCCCGATGGCAAGAGCCGTGTCAACGGTATCTACGAGCCTATTCACGGTATGTGTTATGTCCTCTTTGCTGCTTTCTGCCATTGGTTCTGGTGGCTAATTGGTTCTACAGGCTCTGCCCCTGATATTGCTGGCAAGGGTATCGTTAACCCTATCGCTACTATCCTGTCCGTGGCCATGATGATGCAGTACTCCTTCAACATGATCGACGTGGCTCGCGTGATTGAGCAGGCTGTGAGCAACGTCATCGAGGCTGGTGTCCGCACTGGCGACATCGGCGGCACAGCTAAGACTACCGAGGTCGGTGATGCCGTCGCCGCCGAGCTGGAGAAGCTGCTCAAGTAGATACAAAGCAGCCTCTTCGATGTTTCTATATGAGATATGACTAGCATAGAAAACTAAAAATTTCAATACCCGGTTTAAAATGCAACATGTATTTCACGGGCGAAAAGATGCCTAATGATGTTCATTCGCCGGCCCAAACCCATGCAATCAATGCAAAATAATTGGTATCATGAAGACAATGAAACTCCGATAATAAAACCTCCGTTGGCATTTTACAAACCAAACAATGCCGGTACTTTTGTTCCTTCAAAAAAGCCCTTATCGAATCACTGGCTCACCCATCCAATCCGGCTCGTCTAGACCGGTGGTAGTAAATCCAGTATCGGCATCTTCACTAGCGGTACGTCCCCGAAGATCATGAGCTCCACGTAGGGACGGACGACGGCGCCGAGCATCAGCAGAAGCCGACGGCGCAGCAGCCATCTTCCGGCGACTATCATCACAAGCAAAGACCTGGAATCCACGAACATGAGTATCCTTTCCGTTCTGATGGTTCTCCATGATGCGCATCTGGATAACCATCGCCTTGAGCACATTCCCAGAATAGGGATCCTCCCCATCGTCCTGGCTATCGGGCTCATCAATCTCATAAAACGGATCACACTCATCATCATGCTCATGGCCAGGGTCATCACAGTTCCGGTACACGATTGTGCGCCGACGCATACTAGTCGTAGATCGGCGTTTCGACTTCCCAGTGTCGTTGCGCACCCACCCACCGTTTCGACCGCCGACGCCCTCCAGCGGCACATTGACCCAGCCGCATGGACCGTCGCCTTCCCATGTTGCGAACTCGATGAGGTCGTTCCCGCCCATTCCCGCTGCGAAAATCATCTTGGTGGGCGTGTAGCTTTCGTCGAGCTCGAAATCCAGGTATACGCGGATGCGCACGACTGCTACCAGTTTGAAGAAGTGGAGGGTTAATGTGTGTGGTTGTGGTCCGTCGGATTGCCAGTATTGGGCCGGGGAAGGGTTGCGGAGGGCCGCGACGCCGCAGCCCGGCTTGGAGGTGGAGACGGTCCAGGAAGCGAGCGATGAGATCTCACGTAGGTTGGGTGGTAAGGGGGAGGGTGATTTTTCTGTAGCGCGAGAATATTAGCTTGCAATGAATCGTAGCTGTGAGGGAATCAGTACCTCGATCGTGCATCTCTTGGTCGGGGTCCTCTTCGTCGAATTGGTCCTCGGCTTCGTCCTCCAGTTCCTCGTCCTCAATATCGGAGTCATCAAATTGCCCTTCAATAGCCTGATCGAAGGAATCGTCGAAGTCGAGGGGCCCGTCGTTCCCAAGCTCTTGCATGTTGTGCCCGCGCGGGTCGAAATCATCGTCGAAGTCGTCGTCATCCATCATTTGTGGTGGGAGTTGCTCTACCCGTGCTCTTGGTCTTCCAAATATTGTAAAAGGGTTTATTGGTGCCGCTGGATGTCCCGCCACGGCAACTGGGTCGGGTGTGAGATCATTTAGACCGGTGGAGGGGGGTTGGTGTCGATGGGTTGGGTTTGTGGGAGTGTGACGCGTGGGCGGGGTCTGGAATTGGGCCCGGAGGTTTCCTGGGGCATTGTCTTGGTTGGGTCTTGTGTCGCGCGGATTTGGTTGTCGGCGCAAGTGAGGCATGGTTGTTCCATAAGTTTTGGAGTTGATGTTTACGCGCAGATCGAGGGGAGCTCCATTTCCGTTTACGGTTAGCGCCATTTGGAAGGCATGGGGTAAACAACAGACTATTTGATTCAAATATGAATCCTACTAAAAGAGGAAAGCATGTAGAATGCTTTTCCGTGCCATCGTCAACCACTGGAATTATATCGTTTATTGTGTCAATGAATGCCTTTATCTCTAGTTTGCAGTTTGACCTGTGCTATCAATTGTCCATGCAGTTTGCGATATATAACCACATGTATGCAGACTATCTAGCTAACTCCCCCTTAGCTGATAGCTAGTGCCTTCACACTCTTATGAGAAAGTATGGGCCTTCATAGCGATATATTGTCTAGTGGGCCTAGTAGGTTCAAATTCAAATCGCAAGACTATAAAGGGCTTCCTAAAAGCTCACTGAAACCCCATGAGACATTATAGGACAAGCTGTGAGCTGTTTGATTTGCTAGCAATGCCGCAAAATGTTCTTTATCTTTCTTCTAATTAAGGTTTGCAAGGTCCTCTTCTGTGTATCTATTAGTTACAACACCAAACAGATCGTCAATCTCGGAATCCAGACGGCCTTCGCGAACAATGTTTCGAAAGCCATCCAAATAAAGCAGCCGCAGACTCCCAGACTGGAAAGCTTCCTAGTCTGCAAGGATGAGATACGTCCTCGTGGAAAGTCTGTGTAATCTCATCGCAAGGCTCTCAATAATGGCATCTCGTCCCTCGCGCCATTCTTCAGGGGTTTGTTCTTTCACTTCAGCAAAATTGGGTTCGAACTCCAAACGTATATTATCACAACACAATACCCCTACCCCGGGCCACGGAAGCGCGGTATCCATTTATCTTCAACCCCAGGAGAAAGCGGAGCAGCGATTTCCGCAAGAACGTTGTATACGCAGCGCCAGTCCGGCCCAAAGTTAAAGTGATCCGCGTTATCAGGGACAGCCCACCGGGATTCCGCTTCAAATGGGTCTATGTCGATCCATGTATTCATCAATTCATCGTGCTCAGGCCGCTCGTCTGCTTCGGGGATAGTATGTACGCAGTGAGACAGGGGACATATTATCTGCGCGCTATCGAAGGGCATCAACACGGTAAGGCCGAAGAACTTAGAATAGTGCCGATTTCCTCGGCCGTAGGCGTATGAGACGGATCGGCATGATTCTCCCAATCTCCTCCATAGGAATAAAGTTCAGGTCGAGAAACCCGGTGACTAGTTTGCTCGCTACTGATCGAGGGTTTCGGTCGAGAGTAATTCCATTCACGTCAAGTGCAAGGACCAGTCATGTCCTCCATGATGAATATCGGCCGAGAGCCTGTAGACAAGGGGTGACAGGTCAGTGTTAACGGGGCAATGCTCATGTGGCTGATGTTATTCTGAGGCTGTGCTTTTACAGTGGCGATACCGAAGTAAATAAATCAGTGCCAGTAGTGATTTTCGACTATGTCAACAGCATTTACTCCGTATCTATACCTTTTATAAGGTCTATCTAGTAAAGGTACTCTTTCATATGGGTAGCAGACCCTCCTATCGCGAGGTCTGTAAAATTCGTAAAAATATGTAAAGACTGATTTAGTCTCAATACAATAATAGACCGCATACTCCGTAGTCCGGATGTCCTTGACCGCCAACTAGAGATTGACACGGATGATAAACCGAATAGTGATTCAACGGTAGTATCCTAGTGCGACAACATGGTATCCATTATAGCTCGCGTCGCAGGTGCCAAGTTCCAATCCAACACGTTCATGACATCGGTGTGTAGCATTTCGTAGTAAACCGGGATATCTAGCAGCAGCACTCGCAGCACTCGAAGCAGGCGAGACCAGCGCAGCTATTGTGAGAATGTCAGCCCCATTTCTTATTCTGGTTGAGTACGGCTCTCTAGGAAGCTTGTAAGACTTACATTCCACAGCAGATATCACCACCTTCACCGCCACCGCGGAGTTCCATCTTCATGGACTCGGGGTTCTAAGGGCTGATTAGTGGTGATTCCAGCGAATAATAACCGAAATACATACAGGTTGCTGGGAGACGACGTTGGTAGGAGACATGGCCTGGGTGTTGGAGGGCTGTTCCATGGCCATAGAGGCCGCATTCCAGGTAGGCTCCTGCTCCTGGGTGGGCTTGGACTCGTTGGAAGACTTGAACCAGCCGAACATCTTGGATGATTTTGAGAAAAGGGGATATGGAGAGGAGATTCAGGAGGGGAAGGGGAAGATAAAGGGGAAAGGCAAATAAGCCGGGGTCAGCCGTGTTTCTACTGAAATTAAAGTCCTGCCTCCGCGCTAAGAATAAACTGAAAACTCTTTTTCCAGGACAGGCAACCGGATTATGGGCCGGTGGGGTAGTCGGGCTGAGGTCGGCAGAAGAGGATTACCGGCTTATGCGCTGGCTTAGAGGCTATGCTTAGCACAGCTGAAATGGAAAGCGAGGTGACTTGTTCATGTGTTGGTTTCTAATTTAAAATGCCGGTAAGTAACATAAAAACTATATAGGAAACATTGGAAGTCCGTGTGAAATCGGACCTCGAGGATGGAGATACACCAAGCTTTTGGTCAAGCTTTACGACAGCTTGGCGCATTTCCTTTCAGCCCTATTGTTCTATGACGTCTTCGCGTTGGTATGGGGTATCTTTAATATCGAATTATAAACATGTTAATGGCCTCGATTTATAATTATAAGTCTGCATGTCTACTAAAGTGAAATTACTAAATTCAGAAAGGCAGCGGCGCAAGCACAAACCTAATAACTGAAACCAAATAAACAGTCACGCTCTTTCGACATCACATCAACTATCCATGCCAATATTCCGGTGCATCTTGTTATTCTATACGGAGTATACAAATCAACAAAATATCAAGCAGACAGATTCTTCTCATAATGATCAGCTAGGCCAAATGATGGGCCCCCGAGCAGGATATTCAGCTCGGCCTAGTCCAAATAACGTACACGCGGACAGTAATTGATCGGCCTGGAAACAGCCAGTAAAGATCATAGTCCCAAGGCTGGATAACGTTGCACTCCTCACCCGCTCCATGGATAAAGCGTTCCATCGTGTAATCTCATTGCAGACAACGAACAGGGTGATGCCCAGTTTGCGACGGACCATGGTGTTCACTTCTTGAGAGATTATCTGGGGGCTACCGTCACCTGTGAAACACATCCTTCGTCAGCGCTAAGCACCCTTGGACGGTGTCCCGTCTTCGCATACGGTAAGGGCTGTTCTCACCGCCACGCCGACAATAATGTGTGAAAGGTAAAAGTTCCAACATCTTCGGATATTATGTCATTTTCTTCAAGCCAGGAAGACATCAACTATCGCTGTCAATTCCAGTCATGGGTTAAGAAACTACTCCGTACGTACTCGGGTTGTAATAATAAATGTGGAATGTATTGGTTTCCGTAATGAAACTCTGAGTGAACGCATTACCCATAAGTTGGTCTTATGGTCTAGCGGTCATGACTGTGGATTTTGACATCTTGTTTGGAATCTTCCACCGACCCCGGTTCGAACCCGGGTAAGACCTTTTATTCTTTTATTTTTTTTTTTAATCACAAATGATCCATTCTAGCTAGCGTCTATTGTCGCACTTGTCTATTTCAAATTTAGTAACTTTGCTTCTTAACTATACAGAATAGACCTTGTGAAACCTATTGCTACAATCCCTGTAGAGTTGTTACTTTTTGCACTTGAGCGAACATTCCCCGTTTATTCTTCTACACTCGCTCATATATTTCACGCCTAAATTAGCTGTATGAATCTGTGTGTGCAGATCATGGGTTTGCGGAAAGCACACACAAAACGCTGATCGCTTGCTTACTCTTCTACAGAATTAGAAAGAGCGAGCGACGGGTTAACAGAACAGGAAGGAACGACCATCCTACACTAATATTTTCTTTCTTCTGTCTTGTGAATATATTTCTTATTAACTAGTCACCTGACAACCAATTGGTCTTATGGTCTAGTGGTTATGACTGTGGATTTTGATATCGAATTTCAAACTTTCCATCGACCCCGGTTCGAGCCCGGGTAAGACCTTTTCTATTTTATTTTTTTTGAGGGTGCTAGTAATTTGATGCCTGAGGTGGAAGGCAGAATAAGGCGGGAATCTAATCCTCTATAGTTAAAGAGAACTGTAAATAATTCAATCCAGCGAACTTATCGATAGTTACAATATTTTCGGTGACATGGGAAGCATTATTTTCCACTGTACTACTAAATTGTTGTCAAGGACGTTGACCTAGAACTCTGAACATTGGTGGTGATCCAAGGAGACTAACATATAGTAAAACAACTCCGGTCTTCTTCCTATATTGAGGGCCATTCGAGAAGAAAGACGCTAGAGGCATTGTGAGTTACACGTGTAGTGTGGACTGCGGGGCTAAGTATAGGGTTGCATCTATATTTTAGTCTATAATTTCTCCCGAAAATGCATTAGTATCCAAAAGATAACTATTGGTCCCTTCAGCTATCGTCGCCCTGCTCTATCTTTGACTCGCCAAGTGCCAAAAATGACCAGTATGATGGTGCGGGCACGAGTTTCTCGTGGGGTTTTAATATAGGCTACCCAAGATTTCACGACACTCAAAATCCGGTTTGTTGGAAGCCGAGGTTCACAGAATCCTTGGTTGGAGATGTTGATCCCCCACTGAGGCCAAAGCGCGGTGTTAGTGTTACCTCACTTATGATTGGGGATTTATATAACTAAATATGTACTGGATATAGTGCCTAATGAATTGGAGCAGCCTAGGATAAACTCCATGACACAATGGAGTGCATCTAACCCACGAGACTTCAAAGATCCCCGCACTATAGAATGCTCGGCCCTAGATCGTCTCGGCCAACACTGCACCGAAGACACCACATTGGATACTTTATAAAGAGGGGTTGTCCTTCGCTCTCGCAACCCCCAACCACTACACAAATATACAAATATACAAGATGTCTATGACCATTGAAGACTGCACCCAAGACCGGGAGGGCTTCCCTCGTCCATTTCCGGATACGCCTACCAATGTTTTGGAGCAGTTTAAAATGAACGGAAAGGTGGTGGTCGTCACGGGAGCTGCCGATGGACTTGGCCATGCGATAGCGCAGGGTATGGCCGAAGCCGGCGCTCATGTTGCCCTGTGGTATAATTCGTAGGTTTTTCTTCATCCAATGTATGTAATCGGTTAACCATATCAACAGAAATGACGTCGCTATCGAGAAAGCCCAGGTCCTAGCAAAGGAACATGGTATAAAGGCATCCGCCTACAAGGTCGATGGTAGGCGGGCAGTTGGAGCTTCATATCTATAGAAGGCGACAAATGCTAAGCTTTATCTGCAGTTTCGGAGTCCAATCAAGTATCCGAGACGATTACCAAGGTCGTGGCAGATTTCGGCAAAATTGATGTGTTCGTTGCCAATGCAGGTTAGTTTCCGCGGGTTGATGTATGGCAGATAGCTGATTGAAAAAGGCATGGCGATCTCCAAGCCTATCTTGGAACAGACTCTAGATGAGTACCGAAAGCAGATGTCCGTGAATGGTATGAAATTGTTCATTCGGCGAGATAAGAATGTGGTATTAACCAGGATTAGTTGACGGCATTGTGTATTGTGCTAAATATGCTGGCGAGGTATTCGCGCGGCAAGGTCGTGGCAATCTCATCATTACCTCGAGTATGAGCGCACACATTGTCAACGTGCCTACTGATCAGCCTGTGTACAATGCGACCAAGGCGTACGTCACTCACTTTGGAAAATCACTTGCCCGCGAGTGGCGGGATTTTGCGCGGGTCAACATCGTCTCGCCAGGCTTCTTCGATACAAAGATGGGCGCCGGTCCGTTCGCCCTCAAGGAGGCATACCGTATGTCGTCACTAGGAAGGCAAGGCCACGTGAAAGAAATCAAGGCATTGTATCTGTACCTCGCCAGTGATGCATCGACCTTTATGACCGGAAGCGATGTGCTTATTGACGGGGGATATGTCTTGCCATGAGATGTTTAAATCAAACGAATTTGCAACGAGAGGATCAACACGAGTTGGTGGCAACATGCAATTTACATGACGGTACTACGTACTGATCCAATAATAAAGAATTGGCAATGAACTATTCAACGTCGGGCACACTCCGGGCACACTCCTTGTGCCCGAAGGCGTTTTGCCCCGCTATCTATTTTCAGGTACCGTTTCAATACCTTTTGTTTGATCGCAAGAGCATACCGAGCGCAGCTATAGCAAGGTCAATCTAAATCGAACCTTATCTCTTCCCGGGTCAGAGGAACGTGCTCCAGTTCAAGCTGATTCCCTAACTTGGAAACCAGGCCCGGAATTCTGTCGGGCCCCCGGGGGATGGGACCGTTTATCCGAGCCAACAGCCGGTCATGTCCGGGAGAACAGTGGAGTAGAAATGAGTCAACGACTCGCAATGAGGCGCCGGGGTGCAGGGTCAGCAACGGCCGATCGTACCGGATTGGCAACAGGATCGAACTTTTTCCAATGCCGTTTCACAACTGGGGCTATCAGACCCGAGGAATGTCTTGGCATGGTCATTGGAATAGGCGTCAAAACACAGGAGAAAACCGGCTAGTCGATGCCAGGGATGCAGGGTGTCGTCAGCTACACAGCAATATCATATAAAATGATATAAGCCACCTTTTTGAAACACGGCAGACGAAGCGGACAAGACGGAGAAAACCTGCTTTTGGCTTATTGGCATCATGTGATTGGCTGGGTAGCGGCCCGGTTGGAGATCTCCTTGATACGCACAGAGAAAGCAAGTATAGAGAGAATATAAAAGGATCGAAAAGAAAAGAATTAGCTGTAGCTGCGGCGTATATAGGAAGATAATAGAGAAAAAGACCGAATACAGCAGAATACAGCAGGCTGTCTCCAGAACATACTAGAATATACTAGAAGTGACAATACCGTATTGAAATCGGTTTCCCCACGTTCTATCACGGCCCGAAGTGACTTCACATTGCGATATCACCTGCGATTTCTGCCCCTCCTTTCTTCCTCTGCCCAGACCACCCGTTTTCTCTTTTGTATTTTCTCTTGTCATCTTTGTTTTGCTTGATTTTCTTTCATAGCGCTGCCATCCGGTGCAGCCAAGTCCAAAACGGCATAATTACAGCAATTACACCGGCCATTGGTGTCGGCTCGAATTCGTTCCCGATCGCCCATCTTCATCTCGCCATGACTGATGAACGGGATTTTTCCTCTGAGGATGTCGCGCCTAGAGCCGACACTCTTTCTCCCAGAGACCCCACGACCCCTGCGTTCCCCCGGCAGACCTCGAGCCCCGTTGTCCTCCCCTCCCGCGAATCTTTCGGAGCTGGCCTAACTTCCTCATCCACACACCTGGGGCAGGTCAATGCTGCGCGACGGGGTGTTGGGACACAACCTAAATCGTCGATGAGTTCACAAGGAACCGGTGGATTAAATCAAGATATTATGGCAAAAATGAAGGCATTTTCGTTATCCCGTCAAGGTGCTCCACAGCCACAGACTGCTGCCTCAACGGGGCAGATCCCCATGGCTCAAGGAGGCGGTGCAGGCGGCGCATTTTCTGGAGGCATGTCCCCGATCGCTACTCGTCCAAATCCTCAAAATTGGTCCTCTTCCTCTGCCGTCTCCGCTCCTGGCTCTATGTCGCCTCGGCCCGGAGGGCTTGCGGCGAAGCGCATGAAGCCGGGTCTCAAGCTATCGGATGTCACCGGTCCATCTAATACTCCAGGTACAGATCAAAAGCAGGGGGAACAAAATGCCGAGTCTGCCTTTAGCAAATACTCCGAGTTCATCGATACGAAGGAGGGCACTCTCAACTTCAAAAACAAAGCTATTCTACACGGAGGTGGTGTCGAATTTTCGTCAGGCCACAGCTTCAAGATTTCATTGGATGAAGTAGATCGCTTGGAAGAGCTGGGCAAGGGTAATTACGGAACGGTCTACAAGGTTCGACACTCTCGCCCGCATCTACGAAAGCCAGGCCAGGGGTTGGGTGGCATTGTTAGCCGTCCTCCAGGCCTCGCCGAACCGACTCCAGAATCTGGGTCAACTCAACTCTCCGGAGTGGTCATGGCCATGAAGGAGATTCGCTTGGAATTGGACGAAGCCAAGTTTGCACAAATCATTATGGAGTTGGACATTCTACACCGCTGTGTATCTCCATTCATCATCGATTTCTACGGAGCCTTTTTCCAGGAAGGTGCTGTCTATATGTGTGTTGAGTACATGGACGGCGGCTCGATCGACAAGCTTTACGAGGGCGGTGTTCCCGAGAACATTCTGCGGAAGATGGCTCTGTCGACCATCATGGGGTTGAAATCACTGAAAGAGGACCATAATATCATTCACCGCGATGTGAAGCCAACCAATGTCCTTGTCAACAGCAAGGGCCAAATCAAGATCTGCGATTTTGGTGTCAGCGGAAATCTAGTCTCTAGTATTGCGAAGACCAATATCGGCTGTCAGAGTTATATGGCACCTGAACGAATCTCGGGAGGCGGAATGCAACAATCGGGAGCGCCGAGCGCCGGTACATACAGCGTGCAAAGCGATGTCTGGAGTTTAGGCTTGTCCGTCATCGAATGCGCTATGGGCCGATACCCATATCCACCGGAAACATTCAACAACATCTTCAGCCAGTTACACGTGAGTACTCCGAAACAGTTTTCCAAGTTCAATATTCTAATCTTGTCTTTTAGGCTATCGTCCACGGAGATCCCCCAACACTACCCGAGGGCTTCTCTGAACAAGCACACGCATTCGTCAAGGCCTGTCTCGACAAGAACCCCAAAAACCGACCAACTTACAACATGTTACTCCGACACCCTTGGCTGGCCTCTCTCATGGAGCCACCAACCGATGCCCCACCACCTGAGTCCGGCTCTGGTGATGTCTCTTCATCGGCCATGACAGAGGACGAAGAAGTGGCTGAGTGGGTGAAGAAGCAAATGAAACTCAAGGAAGATGGCCTGCTAAAGATTTCCGAGAAACCAGCACTTCATGCTGTCGCGCTGGATCAGGTCGGCACGGGCCCTTCCGAGGGTGTTCCACTCGCTCCGTCGCAAGATGACTGAGCTTTCGGCTATTTCGAACATTGCATCCTCCTTTTCTCCGGGGGCACTTTCACGGCGCAGGCGCTGTTTACCACACTTGCATCTCTATTGATTTCACCAGGCTAATGCGCCAATGCTCTGGCGTTTGGGATCCATTGGAGCGTGGGCAGACCCTCGGCATGGTCATTACCCGCGTGTGCTTTGAGACTATTTGGGGAAATCATATACCTGGATCTACGAGCATTTTCTGAACTGCAGTAGAGATAATTTGCTGCGCCCGCCCTTCATATGACCAGGCGCGAAGAAACACAATTTCATACATGTTACCTGTCCTGAATTTCCTTCTGTATCTACCTTGTAAACAATCTGGATTTTTGGTTTTCGTAGATGCAGCCACTGTAGTGTATCAGTTTTTCAATTGAAATTCCATTTTGATGATTCGCTAGTAATCAGTTCATAAGTACATATCGCTAAAAGCCGTGTTGAAAACAGATCATATATATACATCCCCCGAGGTTCTTATTGCTGTTGAAATTGAACAAGAACTCTCTCAATCGGAATCCCCTCAAGCCTCTCCCCAAACCTCATCCGCAATCTCCCTCACCAGACTCAACTTCTTCTTCTGATCCTCGAGAAGAAGAGGATACCCACTCTCATGGGTGCTGAACCCACACTGAGGACTGATGCAAACCCGCTTGAGCGCCTCCTCCCTAGTCTCCCCAGACCCTTCCGCAACAAAATCAGCAGCGGAGTAAACCCGCTCCTTCATAGCCTCCTTGTCCTCCAAATCGCGCAACTTGGTACTGATAATTCCGACGACAACATTCTTGTTCTTCGGCAAGAACTTTAACGGCTCAAAGCCACCAGCCCGCTCCGTATCATACTCCAAGTAGAAAGTATCAACATCCAAGTCCTCAAACAACTTCTTCGCAATGATGTCATACGACCCCTCGGAGAAGTGCCGTCCACCAATAAAATTGCCGCGACACAGATGAATCCCCGTATGCATATCAGCCGGCAGCCCAGCAAGCGAATCATTGTACAGCTTAATATAAGCATCCAACAGATCCTCCACCGACCCCTCATTATCTGCATCCGCCGCCCACCCCTCCCGGAACGCAGTAGAGCAGAAATACGCCATCCCAGGATCGTCGAACTGCACGTTCCGCAAGCCGGCCGCGTACAGCGACGCCAGCTCGGCGCGATACACCTTCGCGACGTCGGCGAAGTACTCGGCGTCGTTGGCGTAGGCGTCGGCCGCGTACGCGCGCCCTTGCTTGTACCGCATGTGGAACCACGCCGGCGTGATCATCGTCAGCTTGATGTTGGGCCATTCGCTCTGCGGGAGCGACGCCTGCACGAGACGCAGCTCGTGGAGGTTGGACTGCGAGGCCGAGACGCTGTGTGAGAGCTTGCTGCCGGCGATTACGGAGTCGCCCGGCATTACTTTGCGGTCTTTTTCGATCAGGCTGACCACGTCTGGGTGGTAGAGTCTGAACATTGAGGATTCGGCGTCTTGGAGTCGGATTGTTCCTGGTTTTTTTGTTAGTGTGTTTTTCTTTGCTTGGGGGAATATCGATAGATAGATAGATAGATATATAGGATAGTTAGGTATAGCCCGGATATTAGTATACTACGTACCCTCGAACTCATCCCACATCAACCCCCAGAATCGGGTGCGGTTGTACTCGCCAGACGTCACGGCCTTGAACCCGAGCTCTTGCTGCATCTTGACGACATCGCGGACGGCTTCTTGCTCGATGGCGGGGAGTCCGGCGGCTTCGGCGGAGACTCCGGTGTTGGCGATCTTCTCGCGCGCCTCAAGTAGGTTAGCTGGGCGCAGGAGTGAGCCCATCTGCTCGGCCCGGAAGGGTGGGGCGCTTTTAAGCTCGTTCGCCATGTTTTTTGTAGGAAAAGCTACGCTTGCAAATCCAGGAGAGTTGTTTGGTATAGGATTATTCCAGGGAAATTTTAGTTTTAGTTTTCAGGGGACATCCCTCTCTTCTCTATGTGGGGGATCTTTTTCTGCGGGGCTGCTAAAATGTGGTGCTAATGGGGCTTCTAGTAGAGCGGCTATCTGAGCACCACATTTTAGCACCACACAATAAGAAAGATCCCCCACATGGAGAGGATAGGAATATCCCCCAAAACTAAAATTTCTAAGATAATTATATACCAAACAGCTCTTCCCGGGTAGCTTAACGACCAGAAGGTCGCAGTTCCCCGAGGGAGACAGCTCTGAAGGCCATGATGTAGAGGATATATGCGCGGGCGTACATTCTCCCGCTCGGCCAAAAGACCATTATCTCTCGCTCTGACATACCCAGGACCAATATATATAGTAGCGCACAAGCTATTGGTGACAGCAGTCTTTATATACCGTAGCGCTCTTCCCGAATAAGAGCAAAACTATAACTGATTCCTAGTCTTCGGCAAAGCCCGAGTCGGGCCCAGCCCGTGGCCCGACCCGTACGGGCTTCGGGTTGGGTCGGGCGTAGAGCCTCAAGACTTTGGGTTCGTGCCCTTAGCTACTCCCACTTCTGTATCCGTGGTCCTATCGACAATCTGTGGCTAGAGTACTCACAAGTCACTAGTACGCTGAACCAAATGCTGGTCTCAGAATCTGGTGGTCCTGCAAACGTCCACCTCCAGTGGGGAGTAATCCATGATGATATTCGGACAGAGAGCTGTACCTCATGGGGGGTTTCTGTGAAAGCCACTCAGCCCATCATGCCGTTTGACCCTCTCGTTCGTATGGCTGCTCAGCAAGAGCAATATGTGTTGCATCCATCCTCTGAGAGTGCAAAGAGGGCTTTCTCGAACTTTGCGACGCTGACTGACAAGACGTTGAACCATCTTTGTTGCTATTTATAATCCAACCCTGGCTATACGGTAATTAGGTAACGCATGACCTCGGAGCAACAAGCAAGGGAAACCAGCCAGCTATAATGTGTATGCATAGTCACTTTCTCACCCTACTTGAAGCCAGATATATGCATCACCTTTGATATTTGAATGTATGACGCGCTTCTATACTCCACTATGCCTCGATTGAATAACAAAAGAGATATAGTTGTAAATGAAGCAGTGATCTGTGACTCTAACAGAGCCTTGGTAGTGAGTAACCTCTCTTGTGAGATTGTTTGGACAGCAAAAGCGGATTTTTGCGGTAGTCATTCGCCTGAATGAATACCCCCCTCTTGTACTAGGAACATTTGAATCACCTCCAGGATCACGCTGTTCGTTCCTGGGAGCTGCTAGCCGTCTAGGAGCGCCCCTAGGGGTAGCCTAACCGTAGAAGTGTAGGGCTGTAGCGAAAAAATGTGCTGAAAGAGGAATGAAAGAGTCGAATATGGTCTAAATACTCGTTGCTAACTAGGTGAGAACTGCTGATGTCAGCCGTTAGCTTGTTGGCACTGGAATGGATAGAAAACAAAGTAGGACATTTGTTCACAGGGCCAGGATCGGTAACAGGAATGGCTGGCTCGGACATAGCCACCTTTCCATAAGTATGGGGTCTTCAAGTCATCGTGTACTCCGTGTAATTCGGTGACGGTAAATTACGCAAAGGAGTTTAGTATGTTTACCCCCGTGATCTGAGTAGTGTATTCCCTACAGAAGTTAAGGAAGAGGCTTTCTGGCTAGCCCTTTAAGTCCCGACTGGGACATCGAAGAAGTGATCTCGCGGATATCTTGAGACACAAATTCTTCGACTTCGTCGTTCAACCGCCCCCAAAGATAGAACTTATTGCCAGACAGGAAAATTGTGTGCCATCCGTAATCATCCTCCATAACCGGCTGTCCTGGTTGGAGACCATAGTCTCGAGCAATTACTTGACCTTCGGAGTCGGCGCCTATCCACTCTTCCTGATAAAGAGGATTTGATGGGTTCGAGGTCCAGCCAGGGGGATCAGTAAACTGGCAATCCTTAGCGACGTGACCAAAAACAAGAGGGAGTTAGCCTATACTTACTGGTGGCAGAGCGGAGGTCTTCGTAGGTGACTTGACAGGCGAGACCGCCACAGAAGGTGGAGTAGAGATCCTGGATGGAGGCATTATCGCAACAGTGGACATGGTTTCAGGAGCCGGCTTGTCAGGATTGTCAGTTGGTGAAGGGATTAAGGGCAGGTCTGATGTAATTATGTAGTTTCTGCCAATCCGGACCGCCACCACGTCAATACAACTCTCTCCTTTCTGCTTCCTGAGCCTACAACCTGTAGAAGAGAGGGAAGCGATACGAAGGGGCATGGCCACCTGAGCATGCTGAGGTAACGACTACGCGACTACCTTCACTACGCCATGATAGGAAGGCGGAGGTACTGGCGGTGAAGGGGGGTGGTCACGGATCTTTGCGGTGCCACTGTGCATTGTATCTTAGGCATCAACTTCACTAATCACCATCTCGGTGCTCTTATCGCCGTTAAATTCAATTGATTAATTAACCTATCGAGATAAAATACCCTAATTGTATTATTCAGCTAGGTACCCTCTTTCATATATCCCCCTTAGGGCCGTACGAGGCCATATCGATTCTCCATGTTTTTGAGATAACCAATCAATAAAGCTTCATATATTCAAACAGCTGCTATATAGGCGGTTTCAAAAATAGAAAGATACGACTTACTACTTAAATGCGGCCTCTTCGAGGGTAGTTCCTTCTAGGAGGAAAGAGCAAGGTAGCAACATTAGGCATACTATACCTTCCTAGTTGCAATGTTGTTTCATGTTACATGCCATTGCCGGTTCCTTTCGGAAGAAAAGAGTACAATCGATTCAAGGAAGGGAAAGGGAAAATGAAAACAGTCTACGATCTCGACTGGGTTTTGTGCTCTTCCTGGCGACCTCGCCATAAACCATGCGAACCCCGACCTCGCTTACGGTTTAGGAAGGAACGATTCGATTGGCAAGTGCGAGGTCGAGGTTCCAGGTTGGGCAGGTGCGCAGTCGGCATCAGTCGGCAGATCGTCACATTTCAAACAATTCAACTCCCCTACCAGCTTCTCAATGAGAATTCTAAGCAAATACACCACATTCTGCTCATGATCATGGCATCGGCACCTGCGTCAGAACAAGTCCTGAATGCTTTTAACGAGATTCTTAACTTGACAAGGGCTTACACTTATGATCGCCAGCAGGCAAGTGAATCACTAACAGCTGCTTAAATTGCATGTTTCAATCCATCGAGATCTTCTAAATTCCTGCTAGACCCCATTTGGCACGATGCAGTCCCCTATTGGGGTCTCTTCGATATGCTCGGCCTTTTCGTCTCCATCGTTGGAGTTGCGCCGAGCGGGGCTACAAAACGAAATTTCTACCTCCCACTAACAGCAATGTATGCTAATTGGTGTAATACTCTTGCGGCACCTGTTCCAACGATGTATAATTGCACATGGATAGCGTATGGGCCCGGTAAAGGTACATTCTTTCTTGGGGCCTCCTTAAGGTGTCCGTTCCCCCCACAGCATTACTGGACCGTGGAATGAGGTAATCCAGGAAGGGCGATTTGCCCTGATCAATGATGCTGCCATGATTGAGAGTGGCAACACAATGAAGAACTGTCCTGAGCAAAGAGAGAATGATACGTTCATTCGTTTCGGAAATTGTGCCGAGACATCCATTCGTTCATCTGTTCCAGTAAGTCAATATTCCAGTCTTTAACGATACTCTACGATGCGAAAATTTGATCTAACTACTAGATAGGCACAGTAGAAACCCCGCTGCAGTTCACGGAATTGCGCTTCAACGTCAAGGAGTTCTTCCCGCAAATTACGAGGATAGCTTGTCCGGCAGTGTTTGGCAAAATGTACGACCACTCTGTGCTAATTGTCGAGAGCTGACTCAGATGCGGCGTGGATGTGTCGCCAATTTTGATCCATTGGCTGATGCGAGCGGCGCGCCGCCTTGACCATCATGTTCCTAAGTTTAAGTAACTAACTAACGGAGGGGAGAGGTTACGTGACGGTGTATTGGGACGCTAAATTGGAAACGACAAAGCTGAACGGATCCAGTAAATCACAGGTGAGTCTTTCTAGGGTAGACTGTTAAGTTAAATAAGTAAATACGTAGGTTTGGTCTTTCTAGTTATTACTATCTGGTCGACCGCAGAATTTATTCCCGGGTATCTCAACGACCAGAAGGTCGCAGTTCCTCGAGGGAGATAGCTCTGAAGGCCATGATGTAAAGGATATGCCTAGGCGCATATTCCCCCGCTCGGCCAAAAGATCATGATATCAGAGCGAGAGCTCTGACATGCCCAGGGCCAATATATATAGTAGCGCATAAGCTACTCGTGACAGCAATATTCATATACCGTAGCGCTCTTCCCGAATAAGAGGTAAAACTATAAGCTAATAACTGATTCCTAGGTAGTCGTCGGCAAAGCACGAGCCCAAGATCTCGGCCCGTGGCCCGACCCGCAACCCAAATGGCCTCATGAACGGGCCAAAACCAACACCTTGCTTGGCGAGAACGAAATTTCAGATTGGCGACTCGGAGCCGAAGCTTACTATCGTGGTTGCCTATCATGTTTTAGCCCCCAATCATTTAAGATCCTTTCTATGCCGTTATGGTCCAAATTCCATTCACTGCTGTAGCTCTCTGGCTTAATAAATCCATATTTCTTTGTAATATCAGGTGGTTTTGGACATCATTACATATTCAGTGTTGACTGTGGCAGTACTAGTAGAAGAGAAAAGAGTAATAGGAAAAGAAAGAACCCTATTGTCTAAGATAAGTGTGTAAAAGTGCTGCCTAGTACTAAATAACTAGTTAACTATTTAATTGATAATAACCATAACTAAGCATTAGATAAAGTGGGTAACTAGCCGCCTCAAGACTTTGGGTTCGTGCCCTTAGCTGCCCCCATCGACAGCATTCTCTCACTCTCCACTGCCCTTTCAATATCACATCCATATGCTCGCTCTTCAACATATTCTATAGCCTACATTCAATTATAACGTGTAGTATTTGATTTTCAATTCTACCTATATATGCATAAGTGGGTTATCCGGAATATGCATGCCGGGTTTCCGGATCCTGTACAACAGTCTACCCTACAAAGATTCACCCACAACCACCTCCACTTATATTTTCTAGCTCATACATAGCGTGGTATGCAATTCGGTATCTTTGCAGATTCATAATAATATATATCCAAGCGATGGCGTTCTCAACCCTCAATTTTATATAGTAGGGCCCCCGAGCATCACTAACTGCCTAACATCTATCTGGCATATTATAAATTGACAAACGCAATGGTTGTAGAATATAGAAGAGAGGGATTAGACGAACTCGATATAATACAAAATACAAGGTTAATACTAGAGATCAAGATTAATGGGAATATGGGCAGAGTGTGGGTGAATCTTTCTAGGGTAGACTGTTGGAGCGGGAATCCTTGAATCCTTCCTGCCACCTCACAGCAACCATCTCGATCGAGATTAGCTGGACGGCTATAAGTTCAGGAAGTGATCCCCTCCTCTCTTCTTTTCGTTGATCACTTCCCAGCTTCTCTCCTTTCCTCTTTTCTTTCCTACCGGTCAGCTTCTCTCCTTTCACGGAAACAAAGCAAAGAAAACCACCGAACCCAAACGACATCATGAGTGACTCCAATGTCTGTGGCAAGTGTGGCGCGAGGCGCCGTGGCGAAAGCAAAGATTTTCAATTCTTTGTCGCCAAATCAGTCATCGGGTTCATCACTATGACTGCATGCTTCGTGCTGATGAGACTGTTCTTCCTAGGTGCTCTTGCGCAGCCTATGAGTAATCAGTCTGATATTTCGTTACCCGCCATGGGTAATCATAGCGATCAGCTGAGCGGTGTTGATTTCACACTCTACGCAGTCGACGCCTCGATGAACGAACAGGACGCTATACAGAGCTATTACAGTGCCTTCGTCAATGAAACCCCACCTGTCCGAAAGGAGCTGGTACGACTGTAACTACCCTGGTGGTGGCATCGGACTTGCTTGCTGCGGCACGGCGCATGGGATTGGCAACTTTGTCTCTTCAGTCGGCTCCGGCTCAGCTTCAGGATACATCGTTACTCTACTCAAGGAAATCAACTCTGCCAGCAGGCTCGATGAGAAGCCGCGTTCTGCGTACATCACGCAGGACAGCAGCAACCTATGTGTGTCGTGGGCGACCTATGCGACGAGCAAGATGACCAGCGCTGAAGAGACAGAAATATCAACCTTCTCTACGGAGTGCGGGTCAAAAGGCTACTTTTGATAGCCAATCCTCACGACAGATTCCTCTCTGCCTAGTTCCTCTTGTCCAAGTCACTCAATACATGTTTCGAGTTTTAGCCACAATGAAAATCGTCTCAACGATGATTGATCTGGAGCGCTTTGAAAAGAATGCGAAAATTCCACACCTCTCTACTTTTACAGATTTATCCCGTTGCTCGGCGAATACCAGAACATGGCGCCATCAAATGTGATGTGGCTAGGTTAAGGAACCAATAAATTTATTGGACTAGCATAATGGAAACAAGAAAGCATTTCATCTCAAGACCCAATCGGCATTATACAAAATTCCTGCAATGAACAAACACATACCAATGAGATGAATTGAAAAACTGAAGCACCACAGGCCAGCTCAATTCCAAGATGAAATTAGCCAACACAAGCTGTAAAATCAAAGAAACTTGCCAATAAAAGAAAAAATCATTATCACAATCCCCTCACCTTACTTACTTTTTCTCCCCTAATCCTAGACTACCGAACAACTTGTCAAGTCCCAATCCGCCAAGAAGGCCATTCAACAAACCACCCAGCCCGAGACCACCGAGCAGTTTTCCGACCAACCCCAGAACACCGCTCAGCAGCAAGCCCACAGCGGCAATGATTTGGAAAAGTGGCTCGGAAAGGAGGGCCCAGAGCGGATTCAGCTTTTTCTTGGCGTGAGGCATGTCAGCTATGCGTTTGCGGCCGTTCTCGATCGTTTTGGTGACTGTCTCGGTCAGCTCCTTGAGTAGGTCGGCGAGCTGGTACTCTTCCGGGGTAGCATCACGCGAGGCAGCGCGCGCCTTAGCGGTGGCCGCGATGCGGCCATCGGGGTCGAGGGCACGGATAGAGCCATTACATTCTTGGAGGATACGGCCACCTTCTTCCAGAAGAGGTTTAACGGCTTGGACGAGCTTCTCTTCGTCGAGCTCTTCCTTAGGTGTACGCTCGGCCTTTTCGATTTGCTGTAGAATTGTTACTACTAAGAAAGAAATATAAGGGGGAATATGAACTTGCCTCAGTGATCTGTTGGCAAACAGGCTTAACTCGGTCGAGGGTCTGACTGAGAATATAGATCATCTTCTCAGCTATCTGGCGGTCCTGCTCGGCTTTAGCCTGAGCCTCTGCCTCTTCCGAGGTAAGATCCTCTTCTTCAGGCTCAGGTTCCGGAATATTCTCCAGTAAGGTACACTCGCCAATATTGTTGCCATCGTTGTCAACGACATAGCCGTTATCGTTAACGGTTTTGCCAACCAGTGTTGCCAGATTACCGGAAGTCAGTTTACCAATAAGGTTACCATCCGTATCGCGTACCTCACCCTCCTTAGTGATCTTGCGGCCAGACATAGGGTTGATATCGCGCTGCTTCTCTTCCGGCTCCCAGCGTTCGGCCTTACCGATAGTATTTCCATTCTTATCAATAACATCGCCGTCCTCATCGACCTTACGGCCGAAAAGATACTTTGCATCGCCTTCGATAAGGCGGCCGATAATTCGGCCTTCGTCCACAACTATACCGTCCTTACCGACCTCAGCTTTATCAAAGCCGTAGAACTGCCCCTCCTTCTCTTCCTGCTCCTCATCGGGTATCAGCCCTGCCCGGCCAACCACCTTACCGTTATCATTCCAGATTTGACCCTGGCTGTCGACCTTACAGCCAGCGAGACGTTCGCCTTCAATAACCCGCCCAAAGACAACACCCGTAGCTGGATCCACGATGTTCCCCTGCTTATTCACAACTTTGTCCTTAAGAATAGAAAGGTCCTCTTCAGCGGGGGGTTCTTCCTCGGGTGGCTCATAAGGCTCGCCACGGCCCCTGACATTGCCATATTTATCTGTAATCTCCCCATCTTCGTCGACCATTTGGCCACGCAATTTTTTGGCAACCCCCTCGGTAAGTCGGCCTACAATAGAGCCGTTGTCGTCCTCGATAAACCCGTCCTCAGTAACAACCAGGCTCTCGAAGCCGGCGAACGGGCCATCGGGAATATCTTCGCGCTCGTCGTCAGGAATAAGCTCAGCGCGACCGACAATATTTTTGCCTTCATAAATCTCGCCGTTCTCGAATATCCTTTTTCCCGCCAGCTCCTTAGGGTAGCCCTCAATAATGCGACCGATCGGAAAGCCCTCCGGCCCGATCACATACCCGGCCTTATTGCAGCTCAGCCCTTCCATACTGGAAAGGTCAATAGGCTCTACCTGAGGCGATTCAGGTTCCTCCCATCGTTCTGCACGCGCGACGACGTTGCCATACTGGTCGAGTATTTCACCGTCCTCGTCCACTGCTCTGTTGACCAGCTTTTTCGCGTCGCCTTCAATGACTCGGCCGACCCTCGTCTGGTTCTCGTCTTCGACCCACCCGTCCTGGCCGACGACCAGGCCATCTAGGCCCGCGAATAGCCCTCCCTCTTCATCATCGTAGACGGGTATTGGCTGGGCCTTGCCGATCATATTGCCGCGGTTGTCCCAAAACTGGCCCGAGGCGTCAAGCTCGGCGCCAAGCTTCGAGAGCTTCTTAGGATCACCTTCAATTATTTCGCCAACAGGCTTGCCGGTAGTTTCATCCATGATGTAGCCGCGCTTGTTGCACTTCAGACCCTCAAGAGACTCGATCGACGGTATTCTTTTGTTACTCTCCTCGGTGTCGTCGTGAGCAGTCTGTTGCTGTTGCTGTTGCTGCTGCTGCTCCTCCACGGGGAACAACTCCACTCGGCCTATGGCGTCGCCTTCATCATCGACGATCTCTCCCTCGCCATTGACGGTATACCCGACGAGATCCTCCGGATCTCCCTCGACAATCTTGCCCACTGCCAGGCCAGAAGAATTCTCAATCACGCCACCCTCGGAGACAGGCAGCCCATCGAGTTCGTCCAGGGTGGTTACCACGTCCTTGGCCTGGTCCAGCTCCGAGTTTTCCTCCCCAGAAAACTCCGTAGATTGATCAACCGTCTCATCCAATATATCAACACGGCCGATCAAATCGCCATCCTCGTTTAGAATCTCGCCATTGTCCCCGACAGTCTGGCCAACCAAGTCTTCCGAGTCTCCCTCCACCACTTTTCCCATTGGGTTGCCGTTCTGATCGCAGATTTGGCCACCCTTGGCGACCTCGAGACCCTTAAGCGTAGAAGAATCAGGCGACACGGTGCTCGAGTCAGTGTTCTCACCCTCTCGCGCTATATCCTTCACTTGACCCGATTGGCTCCTAACCTTCTCGGGCCGTTCGGACACGGCGCGCCCGAGTGGGGCCGCAGCGCCAGAAGCTTGAGAACCATCGTCCTTGGGTGGGGAGATAGGACGGCGCTGCTCGGGTGCACCAGGAGATTCCTTTGTAGACTTTGAGAAAGGGGTTGCAGGCACGGCTGTTTCTTCCCTGTCATCCGAGACGGGCTCGGATTGTTTGGTTTGGAGCTTGCGCGGACCCGTTTTTTTCTTGGAATTGAGGCTCATTTTGACCCGACGTGAGGGAGGATCTGAAGACCGTTTAATTTTCGGTTGTACTCAGTATTTACTTTCCACCAAAATAGGCAGATGAGAATTGAGCTTTAGGAATATGCGATAGTAAAGAATTCCAAGTGATTGGGGTTGATCCTTTATGGTGAGGTTTTGCTGTGATAAACTAGTTTTTGCAATCGAAAGGCCCATTGTCTTGCATCATAGTGACACCAAACAATTGTCGCCAAAGAGTTTTCACCTAAGCTGTGCATGTCATATAACAAGCGTAAACCGTCTGATGTAGCCAAAATCCACTTTATCACGGCCTGGTTTGAATCCAACACGCCGAACCAAGCAGGCTATCCGGCGCATTGAAGTCGAGACTTTGTTTAACCAAGGCTCTAGATTTCTTTTTGAATTGAACATCTTGGAAGTAATACAATGACGAAGTTGGTGAATATTCTAGCCAAACTCAAGCAACTTAGCGGCATTTCATTGAACTGCAGAGCCCCAGTGACGTCGGCGGCAACGACAACTCATCTGACACTACCATCACCCCGATGCAGCCATTCGTTGGGAGTTCGCTCTTCCTTGACCTAAATCCTCAAGTGAAATTTGGATGGGCAGCAAAATCTTAATGTAGCGTGACCGGGTCGTTTCGATTACAGAATCTATGGTCATGGTCGCCAACTTTCCAAAGCCCTCGGCCTACATAATGGCTCCCTGGTGATGGGCAGACACATTTGTCCGGAGCAAAGAATATCTCAGAAAGAGGAAGAGGAATAATCTCAATATTCTGGTCTCTTTTTCCACCTCTTACCCCCGACCAGTCAGCGGCACCGAGGGGTAGCCAATCCCCTGGCTTCTACTTTAGAGCAATACATTACTATTTATTTGACGACTGGTTAAAGGTGCGCTTGTTGACGCTGAATATTGAATATTGGCGTGTTAGCCACGAACCGCTTTCATCGGTTCGATAAGCTCTGATTATTTCCGGTTATTACTTGTTCTAAGACTGCTCATTGGCAGTCTAAAGACTATCGATACCGTTTCATTGGATACTGACTGCTTGGTCACGGTCTAAAATACAAACTGCAATCAACCAAGGTTCGATATATTACACCTTCCAGTGACAAAACCACGGCTCAATCCACATTGCCTAATAAAAGATACTGGCACCTAAAAGGCGATGATGAGGAAGAAAGCTGCGCTGCCTGCTTGCTGTTTGGTTGACGTAGTTGGGCCGACAGATTGGATCAAGATGCCTATTGAATGACAATGAGACAAAGGCTTTATGGCCGTAAGGCCTACCACCCAATTGTCACAATACATAATGCTCGATGCTGTGAGAGCCGTGTGCTTATATGTTCTCTTCGCAACACTCATGTGAATTCCAAGGCAAATGAGAGCGAGGAACGAATTTGACAAGATTGATGCAAAATTCCACAGCCGTCTCAGCTGGAGCCCGGAGCCTAGTTACTAGTGCCAGTCAGTAAAAATGTCACAAAACATTGAATTGTCAAAATGATTCTCTGGGTCCCCAAATGCTGGTAGAAGGGAAGGGCTCACTGACAGTAAACCTATAGTCAAATCACCTTTAATCTTCGCCTTTAGTTGAATCTCAATATCCAAATTGATATCCAAACGAAGACGCAACTGCTCGTCACGCCCGCCGTCATCTTTTTCCTCTTTTTGTTCTTCCTTCTGTCCACCACCCAAGGCTCCGCCGACTGCCTTACCTGTGCTGTCAGTCACGCCGTTCATGGCCTTATCAGCCGTGTTTTGCACCAACTCGCCCGCTTGGTCCACACCACCCAGGCCCGAAAGTGCGTTGCTGCCACTGCGCTTCTGCGGTTCTTGCTGTGGCTGGCGGTGACGCCGGGTGCGTTGGCGCTGCTGAGGCTGAGCCTGGGGTTGGCCATCTATGTCGCTGCGGTGGATTGACTCGACATCGGATTCCGGACGGTATGAGCGAGCGGGATGGGATCCTCGTCTGCGGCTATGTGTCTGTTCAAGTTCGGGTTCAGGCTCGGGCTCGGCCCTTTCTTCTTGCTGTTCCTCTTGTCTATTTCGTTCTTGTTCTGGCTCTTGATACGAGTCGGAGTCTTGCTTGGACGTGGACGGCTTCGTTTCCTGCTTGGTGGGAGCTTTTTTGCCTAGCTTGCGCGGCGCACGCTTAGGCTTGTTAGGAGAGGTCTTCGATTCCGAGCTAAGGGTTTGAGGTTGGGTTTGTTCCAGGTCAGTCATTGTGGAGGGAAGGGATGAAGAAGAAAATAAGAAAGAGGTTGAACTATGAGCTAGTCGGATGGATACGATTTGCGTTAATAGTACAAACGTTAGTGGGAGTAGGTTTAGATGAAGTATGATGCACATTTGTAAAATATGTGCTACTCATTTGCACTGACATTACTCCAACCGTTCTATATTATCGAACAGACCACGGGCGAGATGGGACAATTGGGTTGTCCGACGTCAGGGGTGGTGGCGCCGTATTTATCGGGAGAGGAGTTGGTACCAGACAGGTTTAGCCAAGAAAAGCATTGAGAAACCAGCTGCCGATATTACGACCGGAAAGCAAAAAAAAAAAGCCTGCGAAGGTGTATAGCGGCCAGTGGCCGAATGCCTAATGTTGCAGAGCTGATGCCTTAAATGCCTGATTTATGCCGCCTATAACTACTGTGTTTTGTAAACGGAAGGCACTATTGTCTTAGGGGCTAATCCTGATAAGGCAGTGTACCTCTTGGCACTCTATTTCCAGTATGCATGGCGTTAATTATAGTCTCGCTACCTCTTATAGCAGTGGTATCGGCCCCTCCCGTAGTAGTCGAATCGCGAGCTTATTCTTAGGAAACTTCGCTACGCTAGAGCTAGGCCGGGGGAAGATAGTGGATAAGGTTAGAGGAAGAGTAAGAATACTCGAATTGGAGGGAGATGGAGGTTTGTATAGTAAGAACAACTTTAAGATCAGGAAATAAATAAATAAACAAATATATACGGTCGGAATATCTTCAGACTACCAAGACTTAGGCGAACAGAGACTTACATAGTAGGAATAGCTTTATTTTAGATGCTCTCTGTCGTTGTAATCCAGGTATTTGCCAGTATAAAATCAGGCAAAATCAGGCATTCGACCGCTGGCCGCTATACACCTTCGCAGCTCCTCGTGTAACGAACCAAATTACATGGCCATCCCATACAGCATGCCATCATTGCCACTTTTCACTCAGTCTTTTCACGTCTTTGACCGTTCGGAACCTTCTCATTACTCTGCCTGCCTTCAACCAATTTTCTTAAGCTCAGGTAGCCTTTTCTCCCGATATTCCTAACTTCTTTGCAAACTCCGAAACAGATTTTACACATGCCGAATCCCAAAAGATGGGATCGCTTCCTCAACTTTTCTTGGCACAGGATGGGGATCAAAGCGAGATCCCTATGCCAATCTCAGGAAAATGACCACTAGCGGAATTTCGGATCTCGTCCCAATGGTCTGCCTAATAGTGCTAGTGCCAGAGCCAGAAAAGCCTGCTAGCCGATTATCGAGCAGCCGATTTTGATATTGATGATAAAATATGCGTCAAATCAGGAAGCCAACAAAGTACAAATAGTTGGGCGAAATGAGGATACATGGGTTTACAAGGCCCTAGTTAATACTAGCCTGATTGATGGGAGACGCAAATCCAGAGGTAATTATATCAATCGTATGACTATAAAGACAACAGTATTATCCATCAATTTTAGAATCCAAAAAACCAAATCCACAAAGTTGTAAGCCGTCCACTAATAGCATCAAAAATAACAGTCTCCTTCACTAGGCGTTGTTGAGACCAAGTGGGTTGTCCTCATCCTGCTTCTGTCCCCCAACACCCTGGACGGTACCCTGCACAGCCTGTCCAGCATCCTCGGTTGTATGGCCGATGCCACCTGTCGCACCGGAGGCAGTATGCCCGAGGCCTTCAGTGGCTCCGCCGGCGGTCTTTCCCAGGTCGTCGACCGTGCTACCCAAGGTGTCGGTCACGCCGCCAACTGTCTTGCCGACGGTATCGGTCACACCGCCGAGGGGGCCTTCTAACCAACCATAGAGTCAGCGAATACTGATATTAGCTATATGGTGTTGAATTTGGACATACTGCTCTCGTCAGACATATCGGCGATTGGTAGGTTTCGTATAGATTCAAGAAATATGAGTTTGAAATGTACAGGTTGGAAGGCTATTGAGACTAGGCTCTCCGCCTTTATATATCGGTTCCATCCACAACAAATAGATAAAAGCCGGGTTTATGACACATGGTATGGTTGGGTGCAACCCCAAGCAGCCTGAAATTACCAAAGTATATAGTGCCCACACCAATAACAAGCTAACAAGTGGTTATAGGGAGTCCCATTTGTCGTTTAGTACATGACAGCCATTCGATGTAGACCGGTTATTGAACCGTGTTTTATCCGGGTCTCTACCAGCCATCGACCCTACTGCTGGTGGCGCTGAGCAAACGATTATTGGAACTCTCTGGTTGCCCTTGTAATTGTGTCTTCGTCTTGCACGCCGATCAGATCAAAAACAGGAAAATCTTCGCCACAAAATATTTCCGGTTTGTGAAATTCTTAAATAGATAGGGATATTGATAAATAATCAAGTATGGCTCTATGAAAAGACGAAAGCAGTATTGGATGAAGGGATTGCTTGTGACGACGTCAAATTTTCGTTGTGCAGGAATTGGTAATGGAGCCAGGATGGTTGTTCATGCCCTGTTGTCAAAAAAACAAGATCAACTCCTATTCAATTTTGAGCAGACATATTTGACGGGTAAGAGGGGAGGGAGGAGGTGAGGTGCTTTAAGAGCAGGAAACTTACAAGAGAGACAGGGTTATGTCACCGTGAATACTGGCCTTCAGTTCTATCTCAATATCCAGGTCCAATTCCAGCCTCAGCTTCAAACCCTTCTCATCTAGAATCGATTTATCCCCCTCATGGGAAATCTCCATGCCACCGCCAGGTTTCTCTTTTGAGACTTGGTTGGTAAATGGCTGCATGGCTTGGCCATCGTCATCAGAATAGTCGTCATCGTACTCATCGTACTCTTCTGGGCTGTTTTCATCCCCATCCATGTATTCGTCGTCTTTCTGTTGTTGAAGAGGACGCCTCCGTTGCTGCAGCACTTGCATATTCTTAGTCTGTGGCGCTTCATCCTCATATTCCTCATTGGTGTAGCTGTCGGAGCTGTAGTAGTCTTCATCATCAGCGTCGTCGTCCTGTACGGGGAGCTTCTTTTGCTGCTCTTTGGGCTTTTCACTGGTGGCCATAATGGATGCGATGGCTTTGCATTCGATTATAGAGAGAGGAAACGTGTATATGCGAAAGCAGATAGGAAATCAAATCTTGAACCTGAAAAAGAAAAATCAAGATGTGATATGCAATAATCGCACGTAGGGAAAACAGGAGGACATATCGTCGATATCAAGTCTATGCGGTGTGCAATGACGTTGCCGGCTGTCTTCTACTTTGCTCCAGGCCCAAATTACTCTAATGAGGACTTTAGATGTGCCAGCTGCGCTGTTTATCATTACATTCGTGGCATTGCGTGTTGAGTATCCCTGGATCTACTGAATCCAGGCAATTGTCGGTTAGAATACCCCTTTCGTTTGGTCATCCAGGACGGGACTAAATTGTACTGTGTGATGGGTCAACTCCATGCAATTCCTCCGTGCGTTTCTGCCTATACCTTTTTGGTCGGGCTGGTCGCTTTGTATGTTTGATACTGACTCAACCGAAGAAACACGGCAATACCGCCCTCTACGTCGGGGGCGGCCAAAAATGTCCCATCTCGCCTGGCTATGACGGCGTCCTGCCTGGACTATGCGATAGAAAAAGCCTAAATCTGCGGATGACATTGCTAATCGGTTTGTTATTGGTTCCCGCAGACGTCATATTATGGCTCTTGGTAATGACATGCTGCCGATTAGTTAACTTTAGCCGACATGTTAAATTATGTAGAGTTGGTCATTGTTTCTATTCCATGATTTCGACTCAAATTTGTGATTCAATGAGCGTCGGTATTGCAGCCAAACGCTAGTTGAACCTCTGATTTCGATCACCCTGCTCGAAATAACTCCCATAAATTTTCCTAACTACATGCTCATATTCTTCTTTCGGTATATCAGCTGGATTGTCCCCTTTGAAAACAATGCAAACTTCTATCTATCAAACAATCTTGCTGATGCAAACAAGCAAATAGATGGCGAGTGGATCGTAACAGCGCGCGCCACAGCCATTTGGTGGGGTTCTCAAGCCTAATGGCTAATGCAAAATGAAGAATTGTGCAATCGAGTACCTAGATAAGGGCTGTAAGACAAATGGTACAAAATGGCTGTGGCGAGATAATATAGACTTGGTGATCTCGAGCTTCTTCTACCTGCATTCCTCCAAAAGTCGATATTGCCAGCCTAATTCACTCTCTTTAACCCCTTCCATTCTTCCGCTCTGGATTAGACCCCTCATATTCGACAATATCGTTTTCACGCTTTCCCACAGAGGCTCACCCGCCATTTCTTTGCAAAACTCCAAAGTTGATTCTGATAAAGTCAGCTAAGTGGTTTCACCCAAATTGGACAGAGGACATATGACAGGAGCGCAAGTCGGAATAATATGGCAGTGATAATGTGTCGGCACAAGAGATGCTATACTCCTCTTCCTCTAGCCTTCATGGCAGTGATGACTGGTTTCGACTTCACGGGACAAAAGTTGGACATTGATCTTGTCTCGTTCATTTCTACTTTTCTAGATTTAATGTGTCCTAAACCTTCTTTGGGGCAACTATCTACTCACTGTTTATGTAGTTCCTACGATTATAGATTTGAGTTTTGTCTCGATTAGCCAGAGCATCTACTAATGCTCTAATAGGACGCAGCTTTTATGATCCTGGATGATTTGATTCAGGTTGTATTCTCTTCAGGAGTGCTGGGTTTTCACACTGTAGCCAAACCATAGGCTGTCTGCACTCAGGTGCAAGCTGAATACTACCGGCATTCAAGCACCTGTATATTAATGATGAGCTTGCGGTCTCGCTTTATCGGAAATCTGATATGCTATAAGAGCTTAGAGATCTTAGGTACTTACCTAAGAAAAATCCAGATATTATAGTTGCGTCGGACGATCGACTCCCGTTGGCATCTCTAGGTCGTGGCCGAGGACTCTTCTTGTCGTATTCTTATACTGTGAGACTCCCTTATGCTGTAAAATATTGTTAGGCCCTGATTCTATTGCTTTGCCGTGACTACGATTTTTCTTACAAGACTTACTGGTTGGCTATTCTAAGCTATATGTTAGATTTTATCGACGGTACGGATATCTTGTATGAAAACAAGCTGCAAGAAGGCTATAGAAAGTTTTACCGTGCCCTCAAACTAGAAGATCCTAAGATGTGGTCAATACTGGATGAGCTCCGACTACGCTTGAATGAAGAGCGTCGCCTCCCAGTAATCAAAGATTTATAAAACCGGGTTAATATGATCTATAAAACTCTATGTCTCATACTGCCAAACAAGAAAATAATAAATAAAAAGGGATCACAGGTAGGCCCCCCATATATATTCTGCATTCGCGCGCAGTGCAGATTGAACACCGACCGTCACAAACAACACGTGATGTCCCAATAGCGTAGTATCAAAAGCGTCCTGCATAGCGACAGCCAAAAAGCCTCACATCCTATCTCCATAACGAAGGACAGGTAAAAGAAAAAAAAAATAGGTAGCTTCTCTTTGATTGAGCGTGTCATCCTTAGTGCAGGGGCCATGCTAATCTTCTCTGTATATTTTCATTTGACCATATGCCCCGAAGGGCGAAAAGACTTCCTTAAAGTTCAATATAACCCGCGTTCGGGGGCAGAATTGTACCGCCTACCGGTTAGGTAAGGCACGTGGGCGGTCATATACATTGTTATACATGCCCTTGCTGTCGGCAGGTTGATTGGACGATGTTTGTTGTTTGCTGTTTGCTGTTCATTGCTATGCCGAGAGAAGATCAGAGAATTACCGGCACCAAGATGACAATTGAGCGTATTGTCAGTCGCGCATGACATCGATCCGGGAACTCTGTGCGAAACAAGTCTTCGAATTTCTTGATGATGTGTTTGATCTCGGCATCTTGTATTGGAACGACACTAGTCTCTCTCGGCATAGTAATTGAGCAGTAATTCACTTCAGATGAAAGAGAGTGCCCATGGAATCAGATGAAAAGGATATCATCTTGTAGCGGGGCAGTTTTGTGTGGGATTACTCAGCACTGCGCTATGCCTGTAGGTGCGGGGTCATCCAATGTCGAACTTAGGGCTTGGGAAGTATAGAAGTCACAATATCTAACACAGTCCCTGTTAAGGTCAAGTCCTTGAGGATTGGAGAGATTAAGATGATCTCAACACTACGACTGAATTTCTGGTTACCAAGAATTAAGATATACTTCACTTCCTTACAGCCTAGCCCAAGAACAAGATTAATCATATAATTGCTTCGCTTCGCTCCGCAATAAATATCGGAATCTTCTAGTATTATTCACATATATATCTTCTTTTTCTCTTCTTGAAAAGCATTACCGCATGGTCACAAGCTCCTCGGCGCTAGTAGGGTGGATAGCAACACAGCTATCGAAGTCCTGCTTAGTAGCACCCATCTTGATAGCAACACCGAAGCCCTGCAGCATCTCACCGACGCCAAGACCAAGGATGTGCAGACCGACAACCTTTTCCTGGGGACCGGCGCAAATGATCTTCATCTCGGTGGGGTTCTTGGCCTTCTCCTCTGGGGACAAGCCGACATCGTAGAACATGGCAGTGAACTTGGTGTGATAAACCTTAATCTTGTCGTCGCCGTAGCGAATGCGGGCCTCGGGCTCGGTGAGACCGACGCAGCCGACCTCGGGGTGCGAGAAAACGACCGTAGGAATGTTCTCGTAGGAGATCTTGGAGTGCTTCAGCTCGACAGGGCCGAAGAGACGGCTGCCGAGTTGGCGACCGGCAGCAATGGCAACTACAGAACACAGTCAGTGCATTTATTCGGACGAAAAGTGGGGATAACGACTTACCAGGGGTCAACTCAGCTTGACCGGTCACGTCACCGAGAGCGTAGATACCCTCAACGGAGGTGTTCTGGTACTC